AGGAGGGTAGAGAGAATAGTGCAACAATGAATGAATGGAAACCCAAAATCTCTGTAAATGTTTATGAAAATTAATAAAATATAATTATAGGAAAAAAAAGAATCACATACTATAATCACTGTTTGTAAGTTATAGGCTGTGAACAAATTTGCATGAAGTATTGGTACTTATTCAAATCACTCCCTATTGAGGACCACAGAGGCTGGCTCAATAAAGCTATTATGACCATCTCCAAGTTAACCTGTTTGTGTATTTCCTCAGGATAGTGTATTTCTAGAAGTGAAATTTGTGGATCTGAGACCAAGAATAGAAACTTAGATTACATAATATATGAGAGTACTCGCTTCCTTGTACCCTTCAAATCTTGCTGTCTAGAAAGTTTGCCTTGGACTCTGGGTGGTTCTTAAGCACTGGTGTCATCCTATCATTTTCATCACCAGGAAGCCCTTTCTAGAAGCAAGTTGGAAGCCTAGAGAAGATGGCAAACCTGGGCCACTCTCCAAGGCATGCCTTCTGTCTACTACTTAAAATCTTTCATCACCACCAGAACTTAATAAGATAATGCAGCCCAAAACTCATACAGGCAGTTTAGAGCTCAAATTAGCAGTGTTTATCTGGGGAAAGGAAGGCCTTTCTATTTTAACTTTTCATGTCAACTTTAAGACGTCACTTTTCTAGAGTTAGAGTAATATATATAAGATATGTTTGTTGTTGTTGTTGTTGTTGTTAAGTGCCATGAGTCCTAGATGACTCATAGAGACCCTATGAATGAAAGTCCTCAACACTTGCATGTTCTCCAGGTTCATAGGGTTTCCGGAGGCAAGCTATTTGCGGAAGTCGATGCCACCTGCTTCTAAGCTTGTTTTAATCAGGGAGCTCCACCAAACACTGTCCACCATGGGTATCCATTAACGCATTTGACGCATCAGTGTCACAGTGTTCAGCTTCACAGCCACCACAGGTTACCCCTGTACAGCAAGTGGGCACACCAGGGCTATATGACCTAGAAAAATTTTTGACCTGCAGTTCATCTAGAAAATCCCCTCTGTGGACAAGCACCCCTGTGCTCCATACTTGCATCTCTTCAAGACGCAAGAGGCCGCATCCATCCAGCTCGCGCTGAGATTCACAAGACGCTCACTCTTATCCTGCAGGCCTGGCCAGACATTTCAGTACTTTAACATTTCGGCACACCCAAACACTGGCGAACTCTGGGCCAGAGACCCCCAATTCATCTAGCAAGTCTACTCTGTGGATACCCACTTGGGGCAAAAAGAAAGCCACAAGTGCCCCAGAGCTCCATACTTGCCTCTCTATAAGACAATTTAAAATACTTTGCTGTGAACATTATACATCCTTAGTTTGCAGTTATTTAATTAAATAAAATAGATTTGAGAATCTCAATAATTTTTTTAAAGTAGCCAAATGGGGCATATTTAATTTGTCCTTTTAAAAAGGAATTTCTCAAAAAAAAAAAAGGAATTTCTCCTAACAAGTAAAATATTATTGTTTTTGAACACACTTACAACTCAGCATACAATAATTAAATTTTCTAAATGTATAATCCAATGGCATTGATTATATTCAAATTGTGCAACTATTCTCACTCTCCTTTTCTGATTTATTTCTCTCCATTAACACAAACTCACACTGCCTCCTAAGGTTTGTGCCAGTTCTTTGGAGTTGCTGTTGTCAATTTGATCCCATAAAGATGTTCTTAAAAGAATATAATACTTAAGACACATTCTTTACTAGTTAAATGAAACTACTCTTTGTTGTTAAGATTTTAGGCATTAATTTTGGCTTTTAAGGTTTGAAAGTGACCTGGTACTCTTCCAGCCTCCATGAATCTAGAAAATATATGGACTCCGTGAGAATTTGAAATTCTGTTTTATATTTTTCCCTCCAAAAATCTCCAGAATCTTTGATCACAGTGTTCACTAATGGTAACAGGGCACCATTCAGTTCTGGTCTCATAGCAAGGAAGCAGCTGTTCATGGAGGCCATTAGCCACACATTCCTAATCTTATTTTCTTCCTACTCCTGATTCTCCTTTTTTCTTGGTGACTCCAGGTGGATAGAGAGCAGTTTTTATGCCCTGGGTGGCCATTTGCCAGCTTTTAAGACCCAAGGCATTATGCAAAGAACTAAGAGGCAAAACAGAAGAACTGAACACATTATTAGTCCAACCAGCTGAGATGCACCATGAAGCCATTACCCTAACCCTCTAAACTGAAGAACCAATGTAATGAGGCTGTACATAAGCAAGTCTATAGCTTTTTGGGGGGAGTGAGGTGGTCCTTGTTATATCTCTATCTGTTACACACTTTTTGCCAGCCTTTACAGGTGTATAATTTATTGACATTAACATTTAGCTGTGCATCCCACCTTTCATTAGTGCAATTTTTCCAGCACCTTAAACTGAAATGCAATACTCCATAAACAGTAACTGCCATTTCCCTTTCATTTCTGGTAACCACTAGTAAGCTGTGTTCTTTTTACATTTGCTTGTTTTTGCCTTTTTATAGAAGTGAGGTCAGATATTTATCCTTTTGTTGTTATTATTATATTCAACATAAAGTCTTCAAGCTCCGTCCATATTGTAGAATAAATATATCAAGACCAAATTTCTGCTACCATCGTTCCATTTTATGTGTGTACCACATTTTGTGTATCCATTTACCTGCTGGCAGGCACTTAGGTTATTTCTACCTTCTGACTGCTGTGAATAATGCTGCAGTGAACAACTGTATGAGTCTCTGCTTTCATAGTAATTTGTCCTGTTAGAATAATCTCCAGGGTTGGCCAATCTTTAGGGGAGCAAAGTGGAGAATTCTGAGAACATTTAGTTGGGCCAAGCCGTGTAACAAATTTGGGAAAGTTTAGTTTCCTTTTTCAAAATATGCTATCAGCTTTTCCATATAATCCTGCGTTATAAACCACAGGTAATCTTTATGGCCCTTTATTTGTACTGCTTATTATCTACTCCCCAGTTTACCATTTGGATCGCTGTTCAAATCTGAATGCCTTTCCCCGAAATCATGTGTTTGGTTTCTTCCACAAGAAGTTACTCTCTAGACAGAGGAGAGTAATTTGTGGCTACAGCCAGGCTTGCTTGTGCATTAATGATTTTCGTTTGTATGTGTAGGTTTGATGAGAAGAGAGCAGTGCAGCAACTGAGAGCATGTGGTGTCCTGGAAACCATCCGGATCAGTGCAGCAGGTTTCCCCTCACGGTAAGCCTGACATTTGTGAAGTGAGGGCGGCTTGTGGAACAATCCCTAGAGTTCTCTAAGCAGGCTGATGTGAGTTTCTTTTTTTACAGATGGACTTACCAAGAATTTTTCAGCCGCTACCGTGTCCTAATGAAGCAAAAAGATGTGCTGAGTGACAGAAAACAAACATGCAAGAATGTGCTTGAGAAGCTGATACTGGTAGGAAGAATTTTCACTTTGCTTTAGCTGAGCAGTAGTAGGACACTTGGCTACTAACTAAAAGACTGGTGGTTCAGACCCTCCAGCTACTCTTTGGCAAGAGATGTGGTAGTTTCTATCTGTATATACACGCTAGCATAGCCTATAGGCAGATCCACTCTGTCCTATTGGGTCACTGAGTTGAAACTATCTCAGCAGGACTGGATTTACCTGAATACCTATTGACCAGGCCTTGTGATTCTGATCTTTGAAAGACCTGGGGCTTCTACTTAAAGTATCACTAATCTAGATTGCTTTCCATTATCACAAGTATGGCTAACATTGAGAAGAATGGGCATCCCAGAGCACTTAATTGTACTCATGTGAAACCTATACCTAGAACAAGTGGCTGTTGTGTGAACAGAGCAAGGGAATACTACATGTTTTAAAATGAATAAGATTGTGTATCAGGGTTGTATTCTCTCTCCATATCTATTTAATCTGTATGCTGAGCAAATTACATGAGAAGCTGGAATTGAATGTGGCATCAAGAGCGAAGGAAGACTCATCAATAAACTTTGTTATATAGATGACACAACACTAGTTACTGAAAGTGAAGAAGCACTTGTTGCAGAAGGTCAAAGAGTACAGCCTTCAATATGGATTAGATCTCAACATCAAGAAAACAAAAATTCTTACCACTACACCAATAGGCAACATCATGATAGATGGAAATAAGATTGAAACTGTCAACAACTTCATCTTACTTGGATCCACAATCAACACCAGTCAGTAGTCAGGAAATCAGGAGACATATTGCACTGGGAAAGGTAGGGACTTCACCAAATTACTGAGGAGTAATGATGTCAGTTTGAGGGCTAAGGTGTGTCTGAGTCAGGCCATGGTCTTTCTGATCACTTGCTTTGCATCTGAGGACTGGACAATGAATAAGGATGACAAAAGAAGAATTGGACGCCTTTGAGCTATGGTGTTGGAGAAGAGTCCTGAACATCCCATAGACTGACAAAAGAACAAACAAAAATGTCTTGGAGAAAGTGCAGCCAGAGTGATCTTTGGAGGCAGAATCACATACTTTGGACGTGTTGCTAGGAGGGACTGTCTCTTGGAGAGGGACATGATGCTGGGAAAGGCAGAGGGTCAGTGAAGGAGAGGAAAACCCTTAATCAGGTGGATTGGCATAGTGACTGCTGCAGTCGTCTCTAGTGTGTCAGGAAATGTGAGAGTGGCACAGGATAGGACATGTTTGTTGTTCAGACATGTTGTTCATAGGGTTGTTATAGGTCGTACTCAACTTGACCGCAACTGACAACAACAATGCACTGTGTAAGGATGGGGGCTTGGAGTATACTGTCTTAGGGACATGGTCGATGCTCACCTTGTTTAGTATTAGTTTTGTGAGGATGGTGGCCCCACATCAGCAAATAGGATTAATCGTCTAGACTTGAACAACCATCTTCTTTTATCATTTATACATTTTATAACAGTTTCATCATTATAAAGAAATGTTTATCTAGTACTTTGCTTAAGTGAGAGAGCCTCGTGGCTTAGTAGTTGTGCTGCTAACCCAAAGGCATGCAATTCAAATGCACCAGCGACTCTGAGGAAGCAAGATGGGCAGTCTCCTCCCTGTAATGCACTGCCTCAGAAAGCCTGCTGGAGGGTCAGCTATGAGTAGGTTCTGACTTGAGGACACATAATAACATCAACTGTACTTATAAAAACCCCAAACTGGACTTATAAAACAGTCCTGTGTGATGAAGAGAAAAATAAGTGTGGTTCTTGAGCAACACAGTCTTTGAGTCTGATTTAAAAATGAATATATTTGAATGATTAGTATAATACTCTTCAGTATCTGTCAGATGCTGAGTGAGTCAGAAAAGAAATCAGATAAAGACAAAGTCATATCCAATTGTAGTAAGGAAGTGAAAGAGATAAGTTTTTAGTATGATCCTTCTAGAAGGGTAAAGTGTGAAGGAGAATAATTTAGGCATGAGCATGGTACAGAGATGTAAGAAGGCAGGTTTTGCTAAAAAAAAAAAATTGGTTAAGTATATTTTTTTTCAGTGAAAGATTTGTGTATGGGATATTTGAGAAATGGCTAAGAAAATATAGGCTGGTGCTACGAAGAGTCTTGTGTGCCAAAGTGAAGGTCTTCAGACTTTACTGTACATGAAAATCACCTGGAGGAATTATTAAAGCACAAACTGTTGGGTGCTGCCCACAGAATTTTGGATTCAGTCTGGTTAAAGAAGGTAGTTATTTACATTTCTGACAAGCTCCCAGGTGATGCTGTTGCTGGTCTGAGAATCACTTACTCAGTCATAGAAAAGTCAAGATTCCTCTAAGATTTTTTTTAAATACTTCTCTCCCACAATACCACTAGTTTGACACTAGTCATTCTCTGAAGACCATTTATCTTACACTGAAGTCAGTAACCATACTTGCTAGCTATTAATTAAGTGTAATACTTTTATAATATATTTTTCTTTTTAAAGAGTGGAGACAGCTATCTTATGAATTATAAAAAAAAAAGTGGTTGTGTTTTTCTTTAATAAAAGTGTCTTTTGAGTTTGACCCAAGTTCTTTCTAATATGAATTCAGATAGGAAGGATAGATTTTTCTTTTTTTAAAAGTAAGCTTGGGGGCAGGGTAGAGAGGAAAATGTGCAACAGTGAATGTATGAAAATCCAAGTTTTCTATAAACTTGCATTAAAATCACAATTTTTTTTTAAAGGATGGCGCAATAAAATAAAAAAGTCAGGAGCATCCTGTGCCTGGCCTCCTCCCCCAGAGCATTCTGCTGAGATCAGTGCTTTGCAGGGCACTTTGGCAGATGAAGCAGCAAGACACAGTAGCTCAGGGCTGGTGTGGAGTGGGATGGGAAAGGATGAGATGGATAAAGGACAAAGACAGGAGGAGGAGAAGGGAGATAGAAAATCACTTTCTGTATTCTTAGAGAGCTTCAGCAGGGGCACCAATGCAAACTTCATTGATTTATATTGATGTTTTTAGATTTTCAGTTTTTAGATTTTCTTTTTTAGATCTATGTGAAAATTTCTGATTTTGTGATTTCATGTAGGAAAAGAGGTGATGTCAGTTTACAATGTGGTTTTTCTCTGCTTTTACTTAGAATATCAGAGTATAGTGATTATTATAAAAAATTCCACTCTTCTGCTATGAGAATAGTAACTTGAATGCTTTTCCCATCTGTGGCTCACAGTGTGGTGGACCAGAAACAGCACATGTTTCTGTGCTTACTGCTTTGCTAACAAACACATGACAATGAGCACTATCAATGCTTATATTTTTGTAAGAAGAGTTTTTAAATTTGTAGGACTTTTAGATACCTTTTAAGATTTTTTTGTTTATCTACAAATAATGGTGGTAAACCTAAGAGATAACTATTGAGAAACTTAACTTTTAACATAAATACCCAAGGTCTTTGTTTTTGCTTAATTTTTCTATTTTTATTTTGTATATGGGTATTTCTGCCTCAATCTTATCCTTCATACTACTGTTTTTTTTATCCTTCAGCTTTTTCATGGACTATGCAGCCAGCCATAATCCCTATAGCCTGTGTCAGTTGGAGGACGTGTCACCATCTCCAGTTCCTTGAGATTTTTAAAATGCAAACAATAATACCTGCCTTTAACTCATAATCAATAATATTCATGTAATAATTACAGGTTTTGCATTAGCACGATCAAGTGTTCTGGGAATCCCATTCTTTTCAGAGTCAGCCACAGTTTGTTGTGATCCACACAGTCAAATGCCTTTGCATAGTCAATGAAACACAGATAGACATTCTTCTGGTATTCTCTGCTTTCAGCTAAGATCCATCTAACATCAGCTACAATATCCCTAGTACCACGACCCCTTCTAAACCCAGCCTGCACTTCTGGAAGTTCTCTGTTGATGTGCTTTCCCAGTCATTTTTGGATAATCTTCAGTAGAATCTTGCTTGCATGTGATATCAATGATAATGTTCAATAACTTCTGCACTCTGTTGGATTGCCTTTCTTTGGAATGGGAACAAATCTAGCTCTCTTCCAGTCAGTTGGCCAAGTGGTTGTTCTCCAGATTTATTGGCACAACTTGGTGAGCATATCCAGGACAGCATCTGCTAATTGAAATACATCAATTGGTATATCATCAATTCCTGGGGCCTTATTTTTTGCCACTTCCTTCAAAGCAGCTTGAACTTCTTCCTTCATCACCATAGGCTCTTGTTCATATGTTTCCTGAAATTCTTCTGTGTCTGCCAATTCCTCTCAGTACAGTGACTCTGTATACTCTTTTCATCTTCTTTTAATACTTCCTGGGTCATTTAATATTCTGCACAAAGCATCCTTAAGTATAGCAACTCGAGGTTTGAATTTGTTCTTCAGTTCCTTGAGCTTAAGAAATGCTGAGCGAGTTCAGCCCTTCTGATTTTCTGACTCTAGCTCCTTGCACATTTCATTGTAATATTTTACTATGTCTTCCCACCGCTGCATTTTGAAATCTTCTGTTCAGCTCTTTAATATCTTGAATTCTTCCCTCTGCTTTGGCTTCTCAGCACTCTAGAGCAATATTCTGAGTCTCTTCTGACACCCATTTTGGTCTTTTCTTCCTCCTCTGTAATGACCTTTTGCACTCTTCTTGGATGATACTCTTGATATCCTCCCACAACTCATCTGCTCTTTGCTCATTTGTGTTCAAGGCCTCAAACCTGTTCCTGAGATGGTTTTGAAATTCAGGTGGGATAGACTCAAGATCATATTTTGGTTCCCATGGATTCAGTTTAATTTTCCTTAGCTTCAGCTTGAACTTGCATATGAGTGGTTGTTGGTCCACAATCCGCACCTGGCCTAGTTTTTACAGCTGATACTGAGTTTCTCTAGCAGTTCTTTCCACAGATGTAATCAGATTCCTTTCACCTTCAGGTGAAATCCCTGTGTTTAACTTGTGTTTATGTTTCTTATAAAATATATTTGCAATGAATAGTGCAAAATTATCATAGTGCAAAACTCTGATAGTGCAAAATTCAATCATTCTATCTCCAGCTTCATTTCTGTCACCAAGTCCATGTTTTCTTCTCTGTTCCCAACTTTTGCATTCCAGTCACCCATTATTAATGCATCTTGATTGCATGTTCAATTGATCTCTGACTGTAAAAGTTGATGGAAATTCTTCTCTTTCCTCCTCTTTGGCTCTAGTTGTTGGTGCATATATCTGAATGATAGCAGTATTTACTGGACTTCCTTGTATGTGTATGGATATTATCCTGTCACTCACAATATTGTATTTCAAGACATATCTAGAAATTACTTTTTTTGAAAATTTTATTATTTTTGTGTGTGTGTACCGTCAAATCAGATCTGACTGGTGCAGGAAGAGATTGTCCCTCCTTCCCCGGCAGAGCATCTGGTGGATTCGAACTGTGCACCTCTGGGATTGTAGTTGCAGCTTCTTGCCAGTAGGCCACCAGAGCTCTCCTTAGAAATTACTTTTTTAACTATGAAAGCTAGAGAGAGAGATCAGCTGGCCCAGTGGACAGAAAGTGATGCTACCAAACCAAAAGTGGGTGACTTCTAATCCGTGGCCCTTGGGCCTGTCTTTTATTGTCTTTGTTCAGACATTCCTCTAGGTCGTATAGCCCTGGTGTACAAGTTGCCGTACCACGGTCACTTTTGATTGCTGTGAGGCTGAACACTGTGACACTGGTGTGTCAAATGCATTAATGGTTGGCTACCCAATGCAGACAGAGAGTGGGGTGGAGCCCCCCGATTAAAACAAGCTTGGAAGGAGGAGTGGCATCCACTTCCATACTAGCTTGCCTCCGGAAACTTTATGAACCTGGAGAGAGGATGAAAGGCACCCAAGCGTCAAGGACTCTCCTTCATAGGGTCACTATGAGTTGCCTGTGACTCGACGGCACTTAACAACAACAACAACTATGAAAGCAGCCCCATTTTTCTTCATCTTTTCATCTCCAGAGTACTTGGACTAGGAGGCAGTTGTCAGAACAGAGCAAAGAAACACTGCATGGTTCAAAATTGGGAAGGGTGTATGCCAGGGATGTGTCCTATCTCTATACCTTTTCAACCTATATGCAGAACAGATTATCTGGGAGGCTGGGAAGTATAAGGAGAAGTGTGGCATCAGGATTGGAGGAAGATTCATCAACAATCTGTGTTATGCAATTGACACAACCCTGCTTGCTGAAACTAAGGAGGACCTGAAGTGCTTGCTGCAGATGGTCAAGAACTGCAGCTTTCAATATGGATTGAGGCTCAATATAAGAAAACAAAGATTCTCACCACTGGGCCAATTGGCAGCATCAGGATGAATGGCGAAGAGATTGAGATTATAGATACCTTCAGTTTGCTTGGCTTTACAATCAGCACTCTTGGCACCAGCAGCCAGGAAATTAAAAGACGTATAGCGTTGGCAAAGTCTGCTATTAGAGACCTTCCCAAAGTACTGAAGAGAAATGATGTCACCTTGGAGACTAAGGTGTGCCCGATACAGGCCATGGTTTTTGCAATCACTTGCTATGTGTCAGAGAGCTGGACAATGATTAGGGAGGCTAGAAAGAGAATTGATGCCTTTGAGTTGTGGTGTTGGAGAAGAGTATTGAATATACCATGGACTGCTAAGAAAATGAACAGGTTCATCCTAGAGAGGGTTAAACTATGCTGCTCCTTAGAGGCTAGGATTCTGATACTTTGTCTGACATACTTTGGACATGTTGCAATGAGGGACCAATCCTTGGAGAAGGACATCATGCTTGGGAGGGTGGAGGGATAGCGCAGGAGGGGAAGACCTTTTCTGAGGTAGATTGATTGAGTGACTGGGGTAATCTGGGTAGGTGTGTTGGAGGTAGATTAGCACAGGATAGAGCAGGGATTAGGACTGTTGTACACAGGGTCACTATGTGTCACAGGTGACTCGACAGCACATAACAACTACACAACAACAAAAACAATTCCAAGTAGAATAATTTTGGAAGATAACTCTTAAACGTCAGTTTTCCTTCGTTTGAATAGGATTTTTTTTAATTGTCTCCATTAGTTAAATGCAATATAGTCCACGTTTTAATAGATTCATCCCTTTGCTGATTTTGCTTTTAGTCATTTTGTTCTCTGTAAAATAAATCTCATTGTATGATCATTATTTCTACTTCTGAGTATGAAGTTTCTTTTAATGCTAGGACAAGGATAAATACCAGTTTGGCAAGACCAAGATCTTTTTCCGTGCTGGGCAAGTAGCCTATCTAGAAAAATTGAGGGCTGACAAGCTGAGGGCTGCCTGCATCCGGATCCAGAAGACGATTCGAGGGTGGCTGCTGAGGAAGAAATACCTGCGCATGCGGAAAGCAGCTATTACTGTGCAGAGATACGTCCGCGGCTACCAGGCGCGGTGGTGAGTTTCCTGGGGACTTGTCAGTGCTGGCTGAAAGCCCTCCTGTTTTGTTACCCATCTAAGTCATTTCCCAACATAGGACAGTTTTGAGTGGTCATTCACCCTTAAAAAGAAAATGAGGGAGTTTTTCTTTTGCTTTTCAAGGAGAGGAGCAAACGGGGGTGGGGGGGGTGGGCAGGGAGAAGGGTGCAACAATGAATGAATGGAATTCGAAAATCTCTGTAGATGTTCATTGAAATGAAAAATAAATAAAAAGAACTCTTGCAAAAAAAGCAATTTAATTTTTTATTTTGATAAAAATTTTAATTTGAAAGGCTAAGAAATTGACTAACAAGACAATCAAGTAGAATAAAATTTTACTCAGATTTAGGAATAATTTGAATTCATTTTAAAAAGAAGATAATACCTACGTATGTCCTCTGTTATCCTTATTTTTTTTATAATTCAAGAAATTAGGAGCTTTGGGAAGCAATGAACTCTTGAGTACAGAAGAGATATAATTAGAATGATTGAGGTTTAGAATAATTTTTATTCAGCATATGATCAAATGTTAATAAATTATTAATTTTACACCCAAACAGTAGATTAAGGAATAAATAATTGTGTGTGAATGATGGATAGATCTAAAAAAGTACGAGGTTATTTTATACATCTGCAATACTATGTAAAGAGACATAATCTAGGCTATTACAGCATTTCCCTAGAATTAACTTTTATGAACATCACTCTCATTGTAAAATGCAGAAAATATTGGACATAACCACTTTTCAGGCCTAGAATAATTCAAATTAGATAGTGAATAATTTGGGAAGTTGTAAATTGTTGACAAATAGAAGCAAATATTTTAGTTAATAGACATGCCACTAAGTCTGTATTTACTGGATCCCTGGGTTTTCTGATTTACTAACTGTCACCACTGTTTGCTCTGGCAGCTATGCTACGTTTCTGCGCAGAACCAAGGCAGCAACCATCATTCAGAAGTACTGGCGCATGTTTGTGGTTCGCAGGAGATACAAAATTCGACGAGCAGCTACTATTGTTCTTCAGTCTTACTTAAGAGGTTACTTGGCCAGAAATAGATATCGTAAGGTGAGGCATTAGGACAATCCTTCATGAGGCTTGGAGTTCTTCAAGGAAAAACATGCATCCTTTCATTTTTCTGATGCACTAACGGAAATGTGATTTGGAATGGAATCTTGGAGTGTAGACGGTTTGACTGAAAAAGTAGAAATGGACTAATGAGGGAAAATGGAAGAAAGAAATAGAATAGGAAAATGTCATTAATAGCTTTATCACTGTGTATTGCCATTCATCTCACCTCGTTGCTCCTTAGTCAGCTTGATAAGACAGAGGCCTCCCTTGGGACTGTGCTGTTCAGTGAGTGTTCACAGTGCCTCACCCACTGCAGCGTGGTGTTCAGTGTCTGCACTTAACGAGAACTGAAGACCGCCTGCCTGTTAGGAAAACCACAGCCGAAAAAGGAAAGCTTGATCTAGCTAAAGATACTTTTCAGGTCACCTAAACTTTACATTTACATTGTATTTTGAGTTCTAAAATTTAACCAGTTATTTCCCAAATGCCAATTCAGGATGAGACATTTCTTCCTCATTATTTTTTTCTCCCCTTTAGATACATAACTTAAAAGCCTAAACTATTTTTTAAATGAATCTGTTAAACTAAAATAGGTAGTTTCAGAGATTTGTTTTTTACTTGAAAAGTCGCATTGGAATGAATGGGAAATTTTATAAGCATCTCAAGTAAAATTTAATTATAAACATTTAAATGACTTTTACTTTACAGATGACATACTTTTATTTCATACATTCATAGAGAATTAGAAGTGTCTTCATGGTTTTTCTAGTTCAGTCTGTCTGTCTTTTTTTCCCCTAACATGGTCATATCTACTCGGAGACCAGTTTACTGTCCAAACTGAGTGGTTGTGAAATTAAATGCAATACTCTTCTTTTTTAAACTTTTTATTATGATTTGGGTGAATGTTTGCAAAGCACATTGGTTTTCTGTTCAACAATTCATGCACGTTTTTTTCCAAGGTATTTATTGATTACCGTCCTTCCAATGTAGCAGCATTCTTCTCAGCCCCTCCCTTTACTTTCCATTTCCATTCATCCTTATTTCCTTACCCTTCCTACCTTCCGAGCCTTATCCCTGAACAAATGCCACCCTTTTGATCTCTCGTGGTTTACTATTTTAAGGAATACATACTTCCCTGGAGTTACTGTTCACATTCTCTTTCTGTGTGTCTCTCTCTTTATGGTTCAGTTTTTTTCTTAAAATTTGAGAATTCCTCCGACATCATATCCCCCTTCTTATTTTTCAAGTTTTGCATCCCAGTTGCCAATGATCAGCAATACATCTTGATTACACATTAGGCCGATTTCGGACTGTAGTAGTTGGTAGAATGCCTCAGTTTCCTCATCTTAGGCTTTGGCTGTTGGAGTGTATATTTTAATAGCTTTTGTGTTACAGGTTTTCTTGGTATGCATGTAGATAGTATTCTATCATTCACAGCATTGTATTTTGGTTTAGGTCTTGATATGGTCTTTTTACTATGTTAACATAAATCCTTGCATTAAGAGCTCTGGTGGCCTAGGGGCAAGAAGCTGCTTTGCAATCCCAAAGGCACTGAGTTTGAGGCCGCCAGCTGCTCCATGGGAGAAGGATGGGCAGTCTCCTCCCTTGTGATTAACTGCCTCTGCAAACCCACCCGAGGGTCAGCTGTAGGTCAGTTCCAACTCTGTGGTATACAACAACAGCAATAGTAGTTAATGATGAGAAGACATTCACCATCTTGGCAGACAAGCGTTTTGTTTAAATTATTTCAAAGTTCAGAGAGTATCAGTGGGATTTTAGAAAATACAATGTAAAATAGCAGTTAAGATTTAACTTGTTTAATTTACTCTCTTAATCTTGCTTTTAAAGCCTCATTTCTCCTATCTTTCTTGGCTGCATTTGAAACAACACTGGAAAATCCTCACTAGAAAAGTATTCATATATGACAAACTATAATTTTTGTTTCTAGAAAAAAGTAAACAGCTCAGTATCAACCTTTGTATGATTCCACATGGGGAGATTTAATGCACAGTGAGGCAGAATCAACAGTAAGGGTGATGGAGGAATCTTTTATTCTGGTAGGAAGTAGTTCAAAGGGTGCCACACTCACCTTTTACTAATAGGAATCACATACCAGTAAGAAACCTAATGTACTTTTTTTCCTTTTTAAGAATTTTTCCTTTGGTAGTCTGGTCTTTAATGGACTGGTTTACAAGTGACTACTTATCATCATATACAGCTTGTGAATATAACACGTTGTTTTATGCTATTCCAAAATCCTTTCCAAGTCAGCTTGTCAAATTACTTTTAAAATAATGTATACTTCCAAATGTATCTTTAATATTTGTACTTCACATAATGTTGATAGAAGTTTTGTGTCTTTCCTTTTAAGTAATGTAGGGATTCTCAGCCTGACAGGCTGGTAATGCTGAACCTTGAGTCCAGTGCAGGGTCTAAATTGACTTGCCCTTTTCCCTCTCTATAGATTCTCCGTGAGCACAAAGTGGTCATCATTCAGAAGTGGGTCCGGGGCTGGCTGGCTCGGACACGCTACAAGAGGAGTATACATGCCATCATCTACCTTCAGTGTTGCTTTCGGCGGATGATGGCCAAGCGTGAGCTGAAGAAACTGAAGATCGAGGCCCGCTCCGTGGAGCGCTACAAGAAGCTCCACATCGGCATGGAGAACAAGATCATGCAGCTGCAGCGCAAAGTTGACGAGCAGGTGTGTGTGAGACAGGGGCACTGAGAGTAGAGCATGAAGGGATCCAGTGAGCTTCTTCTCAATATTGTCTCTTCTTGATACTAGCCTACATTTTGAGCAAAAAGTGTGTGGGTGGGGGAAGGGGAAATGTCATTTGTGAATATAAAATAATGACAGACTCACAGGTAAGAGTATATTTGTCAGTGAGCTCTGGTGGCCTACTGGCAAGAAGCTGCCCTACAATCCCAGAGGTGAATGGTTCAAATCCACCATATGCTTTGCTGGAGAAGGAGGAACAATCTCCTCCTATACCAGTCAAATCTGATTTGACGGTACACACACACACACACACACACACACAAATAAAAAAAAATTTTCTTTAAAAAAGTATATTTGTAAGAACTGAGACAAGAAATTCTTTTTGAGAATAATGTTTGAGGTAATAAACATGACCAAATTTACTAACCTTCTGAATCATTATGTTCCAGAATTACTTACACTTTACACTTTGAAGATCACTATCATTTATTTGCACATGGTATAATGTTTTTCACAGTAGGGAAAACTGAGGTATAGACATTAAGTGAATTTTTTTTTTAGATTAAGTAGAAAATTAAAGTAGGAAGAAAAGGCACATAGTATAAAAGAACAAAAGCATCCAATCAGCATTCTGAAAGGGAAAATGAAAAATTAATTCAGATGACAGGAAATATTGGATTCCTGCAGTAGTGGCCTCTTCTACTATATGACACCACCTCTCCTGTAAATTCCTGTTTCTTGGCTTTTGGCCATGGCTTCCATTGTAGGCTGTCCTTCTTATTTTGTACAGTTTTTTATTCATCCAGAAATGTTCTCTGGATTCCTTAGTGTCAAAATGAACAAGGTAAGAGTCTACAGAATCAAGAGCTCCTGTGAGTTTACTTGGTCTAACCACATTAGACTTTGCCATTTGCAAGACCAAGTTTGTTATTATTTTGTCATTTACACTAAAGACATTTTTGTGTCCTTGATTTGGCAGTTGTTTGGTTTTCAATTAAATTGTTAGCCCTTAATAACTAAGAGGTCAAATGGCCTAGTGAGTGCTGCTAACCCAGACGTGGCGTGTGTCTGGAGGTGCAAATCCATCAGTGGCTTCACTGGAGAAAAATAGACAGTCTCCGCCTCTTTGATTTACAGTCTCTGAAAACCCACTAGAGGCTTTCTACAAAGATGGCATAAGCACCACAAGCAAAGAAGGAAGCCCCTGCCCCTCCCAAAGCTGAGGCCAAAGTAAAGGTGTTAAAGAGCAAGAAGGTAGTCCTGAAGGGCATCCACAGTCCGAGAAAAAAGATCCGCAGTCATCCACCTTCTGGCAGCCTAAGATGCTGAGACTCCAAAGGCAGCCCAAATACCCACCTCCGCCCCAGAAGACCACCCCCAGGAGAAATAAGCTTGACCACTATGTCATCATCAGGTTTCCCCTGACCACTGAATCAGCCATGAAGAAGATAGAAGATAACATGCTTGTCTTCATTGTGGATGTCAAGGCCAACAAGCACCCAATCAAACAAACTGTAAACAAGTTCCATGACATTGATGTGGCCAAGGTTAACACCTTGATTAGGCCTGAATGGAGAGAAGAAGGCCTGTGTTCAACTTGCTCCTGAATGATGCTTTGGATGTTGCCAACAAAATTGGGATCATCTAAACTGAGTCCAGTTGGCTAATTCTAAATATAAATTTTTCTCACCCCCCCCCCAAAAAAAACCAGAAAGAAAAGAAAACCCATTAGAGGGTGAGCTGGCAGTGAGTGATTTCATACTCAAAACCAGTGAGTTTTATGTGCTGGGTTTTCTCCCCAATAATTAGAATTTTCTAAAATAAACTTCCCTTGAACTTTATTAAATTTCATATATTTATTTTTTACTTACTCAGCAGAAAGAACTTCTCTTTATGTGGTGTGTTAGGTACTAAACAAGGTATAGAATATGGATAGAGTAAATCACTTTTTATTTCAACAGTATATTTGGTGTAACTTGCATACAATAAAATGGAAAAATAGGTAATTAAATGCAAAAACCAAAAATAGCGTAGGTACATGTAAGGAGAGACAGGTCTTTAGAGAGGGACATCATGCTGGGTAGAGTAGAGGGACTGCGCAGGAGGGGAAGACCCTCTATGAGGTGGATTGATTCAGTGACTGGGGTAATTGGGATGGGTGTGTCAGAGGCAGTGCGATTGGCACAGGATAGAGCAGGGTTTAGGGCTGTTGTACATAGGGTCGCTATGAGTCTCAAACGACTTGACGGCACATAACAACAACAACAACTATTCCAGTTAGAAAACAGTAACCAGGGGAAGTGGGCAAATACAAGACAGGGGGTTCTGGATGGTTATTAGAGTTGAATTACCAACTTGGTTCTTGATTCTGAATTCCTGAAAGCCACAATGAAGATAAATATATGAGTTTCATTTTCCACAAAGAACAGACATGTTGTTGTTACTAAGTGCTGTTAAGTATGACTCATAGTGATCTTAACAACCGATCTGAACACTCTCTTATCCTGTGCCATCCTCACAATCTGCGACACATCCAAGCCCACTGCTACAGTCATCATATCAACTCTTGATTGAGGGTCTTCTTCTCCATTGCCACACCTCCACCTTCCCAGCACAATGTCCCTCTCCAAGGAGTAACCTCTTCTAGCAGTGTATCCAAAGTATGTGAGTCAAAGCCTTATTAAGTGCTTCCAAGGAGTGCTCTGACTGCACTCTAAAACATATCTGTTCTTTTTTTGGCAGTCCATGGGATGTTCGGTACTCTTCTCCAACACCACAGCTCAAAGGCATCATTTCTTCCATAATCTTTAGTCATTATTTCAATATATGCTTCTTATGAATTAAACTCAACATTAACATGACTGAAATTTTTTATTTTTTCCCATATTTCATTATGAAACATGCTAATGGTCAAAGGAAACTCATCCACAGAACCTGAGTACCAGAATATATACTTTTTTGTTTGTATTTTATTCTTTTGCCTTTGAAACAAGTGGATTCTAAAATTTCTGTACTTGCAAAGTACTCGCAATAGACATGTATCTTTTAGAAAAGTAGTTGAAAATAACTCACATTTTATTTTTTACCTAAAAAAGTAGAGGAGCTCTGATGGCTTAGTGGGTAGGGACTTAGGTTGCCAGCCTAAAGGTTCTGGACACGAATTGAGAGGAAGGAGGTATACCAAATACAAGCTAGCTTCAACTAAAATTTACATGGACCTAGGTTCCAAATGAGACACTGTAGACAGTCACTGTGATGTTTTATACTGAGAAGCAGTTTTTGTAGCAAGAGAAACAGGATGATACCCATGGTTATTAAAAGCCCTATGCTCTATTTGCATAGGTTATAGTGTGTCTGCTTGGGAATTGTTACTTAGTAATGCTTTATTTAATACATGATAATGATAGAAAGATAATAAAAATTAATAAATAATCAAGAGAGCAAGGAAAAACAATGATCAGAATGAAATAAACTTAATAAAAAATTTTTTCAGAGAGGGAAGGGGAATCTTGAGGTAATGAAGATTTGTAGGAAACAAGTTCTTTCGAGGCCATTTTCTTTTTATCACCTGGCTAGTGTATAGTTTTGATGGCACTTTGATTTTTAAAAGTGTAAATTCCCCCATTTCTGGATTAAGAACCAGAAAATTAAGGATTTTTTGTGCATTCACCTTGTGACTCTAAGGAAATACTGTCTGTTTTTGCTCATTGCATAAAATAAAATTTTATCTACTTTCTTTTTCTTTTGTCACAGGGAGGGATTGGTTATATTATTGTAAATATTGTGGTATTTTGCTTAGAAAGTCTACTCATGTTAAACCCATGAGTACATAGGGATTTCTCACTAAATGCATTTGATGATATGTATATTTGCTTATTGTTTTGTATGTGTGGGTTTAAAGAACAAAGACTACAAGTGCCTCATGGAGAAGCTGACCAATCTGGAAGGAGTATATAACACCGAGACCGAGAAGCTACGAAGTGACTTAGAACGCCTTCAACTAAGTGAGGAGGAAGCTAAAGTGGCCACCAAACGGGTTCTCAGTCTGCAGGAGGAAATTGCCAAGCTGCGGAAAGACCTAGAACAAACTCAGAAGGAGAAAAAATCCATTGAGGAAAGTGCAGATAGATACAAGCAAGAAACTGACCAGGTAGGAATGAATTCTCATGTCCTCAGCCATTCCTCCATATACAGATGCAATCTGGTATGCTTTGACTTAGCCCATGCAGCTTAGTGCTGGTTTTAATAGAAGGTAAAATGCAAATTCCATTTGATTTTTATTAGTGTTTCACAAGCATTTTCTCCCATATGATCAGTAAGTAGCTGCAAGTGTCTTAATAAAACATTTGACTCTAATGAGAACAAAGCCAAAGTAGTGTTTTGAGAAGAAAATTAATTGTCAAGTGTTTTCTATACATTTTGTATAGAAAATGTGTTGGTCTGCACAGAGTGTAGGCTCCTTTTTCTTCAGTAGAATTAATGTGGTTAAAAGAAAGACAATCAAACTTGCTTTAAAGCTGTATAAAGTTGGAAGCAGGCATGGCAACCACTTCCTAAACAACATGCCTCCGGAAACTCTATGAACTTTGATAAATGTCAGTAGTAGTTACAGAAAGGCTTCAGGCTTTTTTGTTCATAGGGTCACTGTGAGTCATGCTGGACTCAGCAGCAATCAACAACAGAGTTCAAGTAAGAGAGATCCAAATGTCTGCAGACTAGTTGCAACTGAGAGTGGGCAAACAACAGTAGCAACAAAAGCACCGTGGATTCATGAGTGCTTCCACCTAACACATGTGCACATATTTTTATAAAAAATTTAATAAGTACATAAAATATTAAGGCTTCAAGCACTAATGGTATATATTGCTCAAAGATTTATAGAAGTAATTCAGTGTAGAAGTGATAAGAAAAAAGTAATTAATTTTCAAAATCTGCTGTTCCTGCCATTTTAAAGTCAAAACTGTATTGACTTTAACTGCTGGCAAGAATCTCATTTACATACTTTCTGTACTTAAATCCGAACTTTAGTAGTAGCATAGGTGCTGAGCACCTCAGGAGAATTTAAGATGCAGTGCAGTTACGATAGTGTAGCCAGTAAAATTGAGATGCTAATGTAGTAGATAAAACCTTTTCTCCTCTGTCTCTGCCAGGTGATCTGGATTTTGTATGTGGAAATAGCTGTCCCATTAGGTACTGTTTGTTCTTCAGACGTGGCAAACTGGTCCAATCAGAACCCAGAGTGCGTTCAGAGGGCTAGTCCTGAGTGTTTCAGAGGGCTCCATTACTGTTAAGCCTCCTGAGTACGTGGAAGCAAAGTAGTTAAGCATGGTGGAAGAGCGTCTTTTTTCAGGCCAAGTCTAGTAGAAAGATACACATTAACAGATTCTGTCTTCTCGTTTAATTCACTTCTATTTTCTTTTTGCACCGATGAATACAGACACTACTAGTAGAGCGGAGCAGGGGCAGAGTACCTGTGCTTACTGTTAATCTGTAGTGAATGGTTTCATGATGTGCTTAGCTTGCTTCCTGGGTTCTCCATCCATGCCAATGGCTGTAAATTTGAAGAGAGACTGATTCTCTAGGAATGTGCTGTGAGGTTAAGAGTTGCTAGCTATACATAGAAGCAGAATCTTTGTCATGGTGAAAAATATGAAATTATTCCCTACAGATTAGTAAGCAAATCCATGTTTATCTCGCTCATTGGGTTTGCTTTGTTAAACTTACATGGAGTGTAGTGATAGTAAAAAAATGAAAACATTTCACTATGACAACTACCTCTATGTCTGAGAAAATTACATTCTTAGCCAGCCTAAATCCAGAAATTGATACTTTTTTCTAGGGCTGTGGTTCTTTGCCAGGTGTGTCAGAATCTGTTGTTACTGTTGTTATGTGCCGTTGAGTTGCTTGCGACTCATAGCGACCCTACGTACAACAGCTCTGAACTCTGCTCTATCCTGAGCCAACCTCATCTTCTCTGACACACCTACCCTCATTACCTATTGGAGAGTTTTAAAAACACTAATGGCCAAGCTCTGGGAGTGTGGGATAAGCATATGGGGTTTGAACAGAAGCACCACAGGCTATTGGCTGTCCTCTTACAAGCAGCTTACCTCAAGTTACAATAGAGAACTCAAGCCTTCTCCTGAGAGTAGATGCTGGGGTCTTGTCAGGATGGAGAGAAGAGGCTAGACTGTGAGAGGGGCCCATCCTGAACTTCTCTTGTGACACAGTGTTGTTATCTAACTTTCCTTGTAATCAGGGATGAATTCAGTTCATGTCTCTGAACCTGTCCCCTTACATGATTGCAGATTTTCCCATAGACTTTTTCCTTTATTATTAAAAGTATTGCTTTGGGAGCTCTTTTAGCTTAGAAGAAGGAATTTGAGTATCAGTAATCACAAACACACTTTGTATTCCAAAAATGAGCTGAGTAGGTTCTGTTTATTGCAAATTTACCTTTAGTTTTGAGATTTACTTCCTAGAAATCCTTACCCAACCAAGAACTAAAAAGTTAAGGGCCAATATTTGTTTAAATAGGGAGCTCTGGTGGCCTAGTAAGAAGGTGCACTACAGTTTTGAAGGCATGTCATTCGACTCCACCAGTTGCTTCTCAGGAGAAGAATGGACAGTTTCTTCCTGTGTGATTTCCTGCCTCTGAAAACCCACTGAACGGTCAGCTATGAGTCAGTTCTGTCTCGATAGCAATTAACAACAACAACTTTTTAAAACCATTAAAAGAAAAGGAAAAGAAATCTGTTTCTTAAGATAGATAGCAAGGAAGGTCTGGTGGCCTAGTGGCAAGAAGCTGCACTGCAATCCCAGAGATATGCGGTTCAAATCCACCAGATGCTCTGCTGGAAAAGGAGGGTCAATCTCCTCCTGTACCAGTCAGATCTGATTTGACGGTACACAAACACAAAATAATAAAATAAATTAAAAAAAAATTCTTTCATTAAAAAATAAAGAAAAAAGATAGATAGCAATGAGCTTCAGATAATCTTAAGTGGATCTCCAAGAGTCCTTCATATCATTCTTAAACTCATTAATCATGAGTGCCGGTAAGATGTATATTGGTGTCTAAGGTAAGAAGGCAAATTGCTTTAAGAGCCAATGGCTTACTAAAGTGCCAGACACTTTGTTAAATACTCATAATACAAAATAACATTATAATACCTTTACCTTCAAGGAATTTCTTGTCTATTGGGGGAACACAGAAAAGAAGGACCATAAGGGAGGTATGCATGGGATCGTGTGGTAACCCATAAGAGAGACGCATGATTAGAGAGGTTTATAAGAAGGTTCTGTGGAGGAAATAATGATTGAGCCAAGTTAGGATGACTGCATATAATTTGTCAAAGAATTGAGGTGTAGCAAAAATGAAAACTGAAAGTCTTAGGATATCTGTAGTCTTCACATTTTGTAATTGGACTTGATCTGTCTAATAAAGCCTCCTCAGATTATTGTTTCACTATGTAACTTATGTGTTTAATATTATAGCTGGTATCAAATCTGAAAGAAGAAAACACTTTATTGAAACAGGAAAAAGAGACTCTCAACCATCTTATTGTGGAGCAAGCTAAGGAGATGACAGGTAAGATTCATGTGGGCACAACAGCACTCCAGTCAGCTTTGCACCAATGTTTTAGAAGTTAGGAACTTGTTTCATACAGCCATGATTAGAATTTAAATGTTTTCAAAAGCTGAGGATACAATTAACTGGTTATTTTAAGTATAAAAAGTTCTAAAAAAAAGTAAGAGCTCCAAAAGAATATGTCTTGGCCTAACTTGTATGTGCATATGCCTGTGTGTGTTTTATTGTTGTTCAACAATGAGTAAGGAGTTCTGGTAGCATAGTAGTTAGAGAGTTGCACTGCCAGCCCAAAGGCCCATGGTTCAAATCCTCCATGTGCTCTGTAGGAGAAACATGGGTCGTCTTTTCCTGTGTGACTTAAAGTCCCTGAAAACTCATTGGAGGGTCAGCTATGAGTTGGTTCCAGCTTGGCAGCAATGAGTTGAATTGAAGCCATTGAGCATTATTCTCTAAGATCAACTACTCTTTGCCAACAGGATTTTTAGAGGTTATTATCTATCTCTGTATATTTCATGTAAATTTTACATATTGCAATGTATAGGTCTTGAGTGTACATTTTCTTGAGTGCTGGAAAAATGAATTCTAAATCCTGATCACAATATGAACATTATTTTTTAATTTTTTTAAATTTTATTTTCTTCTTCTTGTTGTGTGCTGTCAAATCAAATCTGACTGGCGCAGGAAGAGATTGCCCCTCTTTCTCCAGCAAAGCATCTGGTGGATTTGAACCACATGCCTGTGGTATTGCAGTGCAGCTTCCTGCCACTAGGCCACCAGAGCTCCCTCATTATTATTAACATACAAGTTTCTTGCATGTCCCTTCCTAGTCAGTCTTTCTACTATATCCAAGATAATTAGCATTCCAGCTTTTGGTTTCTTATTTGGTGATTTGGGCGTTTGGAGGTTTTTAAACATAGTAATTTTTTATAAACTAGTTAACCAAACCAAGCCCATTGCTGTCAAGAGAGTTCTGACTTGTAGAGAGGCTGGAAGACAGTGTAGAACTGCCTTGAAGTGTTTCCAAGGCTGCAAGTCTTAATGGAAGTAGACTGCCCCATCTTTCTCCTTCGGATTAATTGGTGGGTTTGTAAACCACTGACCTTTCTTTAGGTGCTTTAACCACTGCGATTCTGGCACTCCTTGGCGAGAGTTAACTAGCTATGGATAATTCTATTTATGTTTATAGGCTAGATCAAAACGAATAGTAAAATATTACTGAATTTAAAATATAGATGTTAGTTGACAGACAATAACTAGTGACAGTCTATCGAGTGTGTGCCAAAAACAGAGTATGAACCAGTGGTGCCATAGCATTGTGGTGTGGAGGATGACATTTGAAAACAGATGGATGTGGATTCTTCCCTTGCTAGCTGTGTGAGCTCATTAAGCCTCTCTGATGCTCTCAGTGCCTACTTGTCTTGCTTAAGAAACTTCTGCACCTAAGCAGTTTCAGCCTTAAGAGCTTAAATAGTGTGGTATACATGGCCAGAAATACTCTGAAAAATCTCTTACACCAAGAAAGTAAGATAATTACTGGTTTTAGAATGCAAGCAGGAATACTTACTGAGAATATACACAGAACTCAGTAGAGGATGTTATTGTTGTTAGTTAATATTGAGTCAGAACCTATTCATAGGTGATCCACAGGGTTTTCATAGACAGTAAAACATGTGGAAGTGGACTGAACATCTTTCTCTGAAAAACTGGTGGATTTGAACTGCATACCTTTGGGTTGGCAGCACAACTCCTTACCCACTAGGCCACCAGAACTCACTAAATAGAGGACAGTTATTATTAATAATGAATTACTGCATTTTTTTGTCATAGTACTTTTTTACAATCACTAATACATTAGTGCACAACAACAACAAAACACATGCTACAGATCATGTTGTTATTGTTTTGTACCATCAAATCAGAACCAAACAGTAGTAGACTCTTCAGTGGATTTTCAGACGGAGTTAATCACACAGGAGGAGACTGCCCGTCTTTCTCATCAGCTCTTTCAGAGCAGCTGGTGGATTTGAACTGTGTACCTCTGAGTCTGAGGCTCCATCTAACATACTTTGGACATGTTGTGAGGAGAGACCGGTCCTTGGAGAGGGACATTATGCTTGGGAGGGTGGAGAGACAGCGCAGGAGGGGAAGGCCCTCTATGAGGTGGATTGATTCAGTGACTGGGATAATTGGGATGGGAGTGTCAGAGACAGTGCGATTGGCACAGGACAGAGCTGAGTTTAGGGCTGTTGTACATAGGGTCGCTATGAGTCGCAAGCGACTCAACGGCACATAACAACAACAACAACCTCTGATTTGGCAGTGTAACTGTATTTTCATTCTTGCATTCTAGGGAGCCCTCTTTGCTATGCTCTTCCTTCTTCTTTCTTTCAGAAACTATGGAGAAGAAGCTAATAGAAGAAACAAAACAACTGGAACTTGATCTTAATGATGAAAGGTTGAGGTATCAGAACCTTCTAAACGAGTTCAGTCGCCTAGAAGAACGATATGATGACCTCAAGGAAGAAATGACCCTGATGGTGGTGAGTCAAAGACTTTGACTTTTTCATAATAAAAATTTCCAACATTTGCAAAAGTAGATAGAGTCATATAATGAATCCCTATGTATTCCAAGTGTTGACGTGTGCTGTCTTTGAGTCCCAGTGACCCTGCTCACAACAAAGTTGGACTACTGTTATCCACAGGATTTTCATTGGCTAATTTTTCAAAAATAGATACCTAGATGTTTCTTATCTCTTAGTCTGGCAGCTCAGTTGGCACCTGTTCAGCAACATGAAAATCTCCCTGGCAGATAGGTGGTGGCTTCACTGAGCGGCATTAACCAGGGATTTAACCTGTGTGAAAGTTGAGAGTTCTGCCCCTGAACCACCACTCCCCCTGTATTCTGTTTACCGACCACTCAAATCCAAAATGGTCAACACAGCTCTACCTCCACCCACACGTCAAATAATTTTTAAATATTTAATAAAGTCAGGCATTTTAAATATAGAACAATGAAATACTTTAAATTCAATGTAACTGGATACTGAATGTCTTAATGCAAAATGTGCATATAAAGCAAGTATTTGTGTAGTTGAGTCTTTCTTCCCTCAATTTTAACTGCAATTTCAAAGATAAAATCTGCCAAAGAAAATGTAACCTCCATCTTTAAGACAAGTGATTTAAAATTGTGTATGTCAAGGACTCATCTACATTTTCAAGTGCATCTTTTGTACTTTTATTTGTTCTGCTCACTTTTCTTGTTCTAGTTGTGCTGCTATCAGGAAACAAAGAGTCCTCTAGATTTCTTGTTCTCTACAAGTAACAATCTTAGAGTTATCTTTGTAGTACAAATGACCAGAAATGTTCTCAAATAGCTTTTATAAAAAGCAAAATTATATATCTCTATGGAGTAACTTCAAAATTAGCTTCTATCTGAATTTTCTAATAAGGTTCTTTCAAATACAAGAGATTTTTATAAGAGATTATGCAGCACAAAAGAAATGGAATAAATATATCCTAAAAATTTAAATCATATTAAAAATAAAGAGATTATGCAACACAAAGGAACAGGGAGCTACTTACTCTACACCTTACTTCTCCTTTCCTTATCTGAGATTTCTTCCGTAATTCTTCCTTTATCTCATCCAGTTGTATTCCCTTTGCCAAGTCTTCAGACACCACTGTTGATATGTTAGATTCCTTCCTTACACTGGAAGTGATTCATTTTCAAACATCCCACAGGCCTGGATTCCCTTGCTTCATCATCCCTTTATTGTTGGCTTGAAACTCCTGGCTCAGTCTTTCCCTTAGAGCCTGTATCCATATATTCCCTGGACAAACTCATTTTCTAGAAGAAAATTTTTACAACACTCCTTGGTAGCAGGGAGCTTCAGTGGCCTATTTGTAAGAAGCTATGCTGCAATGACCAGGGCCCACCATTCGAATCCACCAGTTGCTTGGTGGGAGAAGGATGGGCAGATTCTTCCTTTGCAGTTTCCTACCTCTGAAAATCCACTGGATGGTCAGCTATGGGTTGGTTCCTATACCATTTATAGCCTGGGAAATCCACTGGAGGACCAGCTTTGAGTCAGTTCTGACTTAAAGGCAGTACATTTATTTGCATTAGTAGATGAAGAAATTTATAACAATCTTAGAAATTAAGCTGATGTAGATAACACTGTTGTTATATACTGTCAAGCCAAAACTGACCCATAGCTGATCTTTCAAGTTTTCAGAGGCAGTAAATTGCATGGAAGGACATTGTGTTTCTTTCTCCCACAGAGCAGGTACTGGCTTTGAACTGTGAACCTTTGGGTTAGCAGTGCAGCTTCTTACCACCAGACCACCAGAGCTCATTGACTCTACAGTTGGGCATTATTTGAAACATCTTTTGTACTCTATACCGGTGTGTATATCACAGAGAAAATAAAAGATAAGATTCTTCTTATTAACAAATCTAAAAGATCTTGTCAAAATAAAAAAAAAAAATAAATAAATTGGGGAGCTCTGGTGGCCTAGTGGCAAGAAGCTGCACTGCAATCCCAGAGAAACACGGTTTGAATCCACCAGACGCTCTGCCGGAGAAGGAGGCGCAATATCCTCTTGTACCAGTCAGATCTGATTTGACGGTACACGCACACAAAATAAAAAAAAAATAAATAAAAGATCTTGTTAATCTTATATTCCTTGAGTCACCTTCAGTGTCTGGCTCAATGGTCACCTCTCACGTTCTCTTATTCTTACGCTTTCTCTCTAGAGTCCTTTCCCTCAATTCCAGTGTCCATGTTCTCCAGAGTTCCACTCTTGGGTGTTCTTACTACTCTACTGGACAACTTCATCAACATTTAGAGTTAATCCATGTTTCCTTTATAGTTAGAGCTATGCTTTATATCTCACAAGGTGTTTCTGAGGATATTGAAATGGTAATAAGTGAGACTGGCAAAAGATACCATTCTATGCTCAAGTAAATGTGGAATCATCTGGGTTAAACAGATCTTTTTTTTCCTATAGACACAGCTTCTTACCAATAGGTCACTGGAGAGGAGTGTTGTAAAAATTGTCTCCAAGAAAATGAATTTGTCCAGGGACCATATGGAGACAGACTCTAAAGGGAAGACTGAGCCAGGAGTTTCAAGCCGATGATGAAGGGATGATGAAGTAAGGGAATCCAGGCCTGCCCAATGTTTGCAAATTAATTACTTCCAGTGTAAGAAAGAAACCTAACATATCAACAGTGGTGTCTTAAGTCTTAGTGAAGGAATATGACTGGATGAGATAAAAGTAGAATTATGGAAGAAAGATAAGGCAAGGAGGAGAAGTAAGGTGTAGATCTTGAAGGAAAACATGATGATCAAGCTAATTATACACCCTCCTAGTGGAGTAAGCCTGCGGATAGGGAAAAAGAACTGTAAAAACAGATGGAAAAGTTATAAACAAGGAAGGATGTGAAAGAACCATTCAAGGTTTTAAGAATAATAATAGCAGCAGTAAGCAACAATCCAAACTAGTTGTTGTTGAGTTGATGCCAACATGGGATATCCCCATATGCATTTTTATGAAAATAAAACCTGGGCTCCACCAGTTTTTTGTTTTGTTTTTTTTTTAAATTTGTTTTATTATTTTTCATTTCAATGAAAATATGCAGAGACTTTGGATTTCCATTCATTCATTGTTGCACTTTTATCCCCTCCTCCACCAGTTTTTTTAATGGCTAGTTTTTCTAAGTATATTTCCAGAGTTTCTTTTGAGGTGCCTCTGGGTAGACTCAAGCCTCCAACCTTCCAGTTAATAGCTAAGTGCATATTAATCATGTCTACCACCTGGGGTGTTGTACTGCTCACCTAGCGGGGACTCTTGCCTAGCAGGTCCAATCAGGTCTTGACTGCTGGTGCCAAGAGTATTGACTGTGGAACCGAGCAAGCTGTAACTGTTAAAACAACCTCAATCTCTTCTCCATCTGTCATGGTGCTACCAGTTGGCCCAGTGATGAGAATCTTTGTCTTCTTGATGTTGAGCTTCAATCCATATTGAAGACTACAGTCCTTGACTATCTGCAGCAAGCTCTTCGGGTCCTCCTTAGTTTCAGCAAGCAAGGTTGTGTCATCTGCATAATGTAGGTGTTTATGAGTCTTCCTCCAATCCTGATGCCTCATTCCTCCTCATAAAGCCCAGCTTTCTGAATGATCTGGTCTACATATAGTTTGGAAAGGTATGGAGATAGGACTTATTCCTGGTGCACTCCTTTCCTGATTTTGAACTATGCAGTGTTGCCTTGCTCTATTCTGAGGACTGCTTCCTGGTCTGAGTATAGGTTTCACACAAGCACAATCAAGTATTCTGAGTTTCCCATTTTCTTCAAAGTTAACCACAATTTGTTGTGATCCACACAGTCAAGTGCCTTTGCATAGTCAATGAAACACAGGTAGACATTCCTCTGGTACTCTTGGGGGTTTTTGGCCAAGATCCATCTGACATTGGCAGTAATGCCTCTAGTGCCACAAGCTCTCTATTGATGTACTGTTTCAGTCGTTTTCGGATCATCTTCAGCAGGATTTTGCTTTTGTGCAATATTAGTGATATTGTTTGATAATTTTCACACTCTGGCAGGTCACCTTTTTTTTGGAATGAGAATAAATATGGAACTCTTCTAGTCAGTTGGCCAAGTAGTTGTCCTCCAAAAGACCAAAATGAATGTCAGAAGAGAATGAATATTGCATTAGAGTGCCACGAAGCCAAAGAAAAGGGAGGAAATCAAGAAGTTAATATTTTTTAATTGATATTTTAATGAAAGATTATAGAGAATTTTGAATTTCCTTTCATTCATAAGTTAATCTTTGAACAGATTTCAAAGGGCAGCTTAAGAAGACAACACAATGTACTATAATGAAATGTTGTATCAGGAGCTGGAGTTGGAAAATCAAAAGGACTGAATTCACTGGGCATATCTTAAATGAAAGGAACTTAATAACAAATTCAAACCATGAGTTGCAATACTTAAGGATGCTACGGGCAGAATATTGAGTAATTCAGGAAGCATTAAAAGATGATTAGAGTATGCAGAGTCACTATAACAAAAAGAATTGGTTGACACAGAAGAATGTCATGAAACCACATATGATCAAGAGGCAATGGTGATGAATCAGAAAGTGCTGGCTGCTCTGAAGGTCTTGTCTTAAAATAAGTCCCCAGGAATTGATAGAATACCAATTGACATATTTCAAAAAACAGGTGCTGCTCTGGATGTGCTTACCAGTTTGTGCCAAGAAATCTGGAGGACAACCACCTGGCTGCTTACTTTACAGATATTTATTTCTGCCTTTATTTTGCACATCCACTTCTGATTAGTTTCCAATGTTCTGGGATTCTCAAGTCTTACCAAGGCAACGGAGTACAGTATGGCCTGGCCTGGGAAATATAACTGTCCCTAGATATTGGCTTCCCTTTGGTTGAACGGATGAGTCTGCTCTTTTAATGTGTGACTTCGGCCTCTTTCCCAACAGCTGGAGGAAGGGAGGCAATTGGACGATTGAGCAAGTTCTCAGATCTTTCTAAAGCTCTTGGGATCTATAACCCTGAGGAATTGAGGCCATTGATCCTTCTTCATGTTCTATTGGATTATCATCAAAAAGAGAGATGTAAAACCCAGAAGTTTTATTCTGTCTTGCTCCAGGTCACTCTGTTGTCCTATCTTTTGCAGGAAGGAATAGATGACAATCACTTTATGATTCTATTCCATAGTCCCTTTGAGAATACTGATCTCGTTTAGTACTGAGAATCATCAGTTTCCTGAACTCCTGTGAGCTAGAACCCCGAAGGCTCTTAAAGCAGCTTTCTTGCCTCTCTTACAAGTTCATCCTTCCCAGTGCTGACTGCAGAGTATAGATAGCATCTTGCCTATATAGAAGTGACAAATTCAAGTCCCCTAAGGCTTGACATAGTGACTAACAGTGGGCTCGAGTGTATTGAGATTGTGAAGATGCAGAGAGCAGGGTTCATATCTGCTGTTCATAAGATCTCTATGAGCTGTAGTCAAATCTGTGACATCTGACAACAATGGGTAAAACACATCTTCCTCTATAAAAACTGTTCATGCTTAATTACAGTTTATCCTAATCGCTAGAAAAAGATTTCATGTTTGGTAAATATGTTTGTTTTTGTTGTTATGTGCTATCAAGTCACCTGCTCTCAAACCTTTCTAAAGCTCTTGGGTTCTGTAGCCACCCTACATACAACAGCCCTAAACCCTGCTCTATCCTGTGACAATCTTACTATCTCTGACACACCTACCCCCATTACCCCAGTCACTGAATCAGTCCATTTCATCAATGATCTTCCTCTCCTGTGCAGTCCCTCCACCCTCCCAAGCATGATGACCTTCTCCAAGGACTGGTCCCTTCTTTCAACATGCCCAAAGTATGTCAGACAAAGTTTCAGAATCCTTATCTCCAAGAAGATTCCTGGTTTCACCCTATCTAGATAAATACTAGGATCAGCAAAAACAAGAAAACGTTTAATGATATAGCATGACACATTAACCTCAACAGTGGAATTTAAAAAATCAAATAGATGCAGGATTGCATAGCATTTCATTCTGTTGCACTTGAGATCACCATGGGTCAAACTCAATCTACCAGCAACTGACAACAGTGCAGTAAATTATTCACTTATCTCTCTCTCTATATATATATTCTTTGAATGGGTCTTATTTTATTTTACTACAGCACTAAAGTTGGTGCTGAGGCACTAACAATAAATTCTTTACACTTCATTCAGTTTGACTCCTCACAACTTTAGAAACCCACATGGGTCTTTGTCCACCATCATAGATAATTTTCATTTGCGTACTTAGTTCTATGATTGTTCTTGTTACACTGTGTAGATGGTTTCCTTTCTTTCTTTGGAGGAATTAGCAAGCCCTTTTGTAAAGGATTTACTCAGGACAGTAGGGAACAGCATTTGGGCATCAATACAGCCACTCAGGAATGGGGATTCAAGTCAGAATAGACAGTAAACCAGGTATTAGTTAGGTTTTGATAATTATGCCTAATTTGTTTGCCTTGCAGAATGTGCCTAAACCTGGACACAAAAGAACAGACTCCACCCACAGCAGCAATGAATCTGAATACACGTTGAGCTCTGAATTTGCAGAAACTGAAGATGTCCCATCTCGGACGGAGGTACATTTTAGACACCATTTCCTGATGGTAGTGTATGACCATGCTGTTGTTCACAGATAACATTTCCATTACACAATGGACCCCCATTACCTATAAACAACAGCATTGATACAGAATTGTTTATCCTTTGTGAGCGACTTGGAGATACTTTGTTAGCTGTATACATACACGCTTCCTAAATATTTTTTTTTTTACCAAGACACATTTGGTTATTACTTTTTAATATTTTGTCATATATTCCCTTTTTTATTTTATTTTACACTTTAATACATTCTGTGAATAAAAAGACATAGAGTCAGGTCTATTTCAGACTCAAGATAAATTTTTAAGAGGAAGAACTTGGCCCTTGAATATTACAAATCCCAGTGCCCAAGAGTTTAGCAAAACTGCTACCTGTTTGATAACAGTTATTACCAGTGACATTTTCTCAGAAATGTATGAAAAAGAATTTCAAAATCCTCTTTAATGTTTTATGTTATATGTTTGAAACCCAAATGACCTATTATCCTATCAAGCTACAGTGATGTTAAGTTAGATTGTTCTCAAATCAATTATCAGTTCTCCTTTTCAAGTATACCCTTAAGGTTCTATTATGGGTAATTTGGACACAACTCTTCTATTTTTGTATCATATTCTGGGAAAAGTGTCAAGCCAGAAACAGACTGCATCTAACAGAATAGCTGAAGAAGTGGAATGATTCCTTCCTTTAGTGTCTTTGTTTTACTTAGGAATGAAGAATTTCTTCTCCCTTATTCTGTTCTGTTAAATGAAGCTTCAGAGATGCTATTTTTTATCTCTAGGCACAGTAATGACAATCTTTGTTGAAAATGATTTCTAATGTTTCTCTTTTTATGAAGCTGTTTTAGTCAATAGGACATGGTAGCCATTAGGGTTAACAGGATTAAACTTCAGGAGAATAGAAATGAAAGACAATATTTAAAAAATAACAACCACCCAGTGTATGAAAATTCAAAATTCTAAACTAGAGGAATTACTAGCTGATAATTTTCATTGTTTTGGTGGTGTATCATTGAGTCAGTACTGATTCATAGCTGACCCTCCAGTGGGTTTTCAGGGACTCCTCCAGTTAATCACACAGGAGGAGATTGCCTGTCTCACTCATGGACTCTAACCACATGTCTTTGGGAGTGTAGCACAGCTTCTTAATCCCAGTGGTCATTAACTGACTATCTCAGTTCTCTTCTCCCATCCACCTACCTCATACACAGGGAAAGAGTTCCCACAATTGTCCAAGTTATTGTTAGGAATAATTTCAGAATTCCAGATATGTCATGGCAATTTTATGAATAAATTTTGTTGTCCCCCCTATTGAGTTCCTCAGATAAGAGAGCATATTATTTTTTTTAGATCAGCTTTACAGTTTCACTGTCTTAGGAGGGTAAAACTCAGGTGGCAAAGCCATTAGAAGAGAAGCAAGCAAAACAAACTGCCGAAAATTCATGGAGCAAACTGACTCAGTCTTTCTCCTTTCTCATGAAGTAGAGGGAGAACAATCGGTATCTCCTCAATTAAATGTGACTTTAGAAATAAGTGTGAATGCTCTTCTTACCCTTAAATAGTTCTGTTCTTAAATTATGTTTCAAGACCTTTTTTTGGTTATCAGCTGTTATCTTTCGTGTTCTCTCATGCCCTATCTGAATATTCTTATTTATAGAATTTTATGTAGAGCTCAACTAATTCTTTATCTAGTAATATCAGATTTAAAGGGTTACTTCTGTCTGATTTTAATGGGAGGATTCTTGTTAAACATGTGTGTGTTGTGTATGTGTGTATATATATATAAAATGAATGTGTATTTGTGTTTTTATGTATGTGTATATTCCATTATCTGTCATTAAATGTCATTACATTTATTTTGGCTGTTCACCATTTTAAAAATGATCTTTCTACTTATGAAAGTAGTGCATGCTACTAACAATTCAAATAGGGAAATCCGTGAAGGAGAAAATGACAGCTCCACATGATTTCTCCTCCTCTTCAAGATAGGTACTAATGACCTGTACTAGATACACTTTAAACATTCTCTCTACCCTACTTTTTATCAAAACCAGTACCATCATATACATAATTTCCTGAACCTTACTTTTTTATTATTAATTTTAATGACCGTTTGTAGAGACTTTGATTTCCATTCATTCATTGTTGCATGAAACTTATGTTTTTTTTTACTTAATAGTTTATATAGGACATCTTTAGCTGTTCATGTAGATGTACTTAAATTTTTTTAACAGCTAAAAATGCAGTTTAGCTATATCATGATTTATCTTAGCAACTCTTTTATTCACTGGAATTTGGGTTGCTTCCAGGTTTTGGTGGGATTTTATGCAATTAAAAATGCAATAACCATCTTTTTCTGTATATATTTTTGTGTACTTGAACTTAAGTCAGCTAATTCCTTGCAATATTAGCAAATATCTAAAGGTTAGCTCTATCCAATTTTTATGAGAGGATTCTTGTTAAACAGAAATAAAGATACTGTTACACAGGGCATTATTAATATTTTCTGTCTCTCCAATTGATAGGAGAAAAAATGTTTTCATATTTGTGTTTCTGCATTTGCTAGCTAGGTTGAGTATGTTTTCCTATATCTATATAATTTTTTTGCCATTTATTTTCAAGTTTGTGTATTTTGGTTGAGTTATTCATCATTTTCTCATTTACTTACTATCTTCTGGTGACTTGTGTTGACCATGCTGTGATTTCTGGGGTTCAGGAGCCGAGTGAGAAGAAGGTACCTCTGGACATGTCATTGTTCCTCAAGCTCCAGAAGCGAGTCACAGAGCTGGAGCAGGAGAAGCAGGTGATGCAGGATGAACTGGACCGCAAGGAGGAGCAGGTGCTCCGCAGCAAGGCAAAGGTGCATAGCCCTTCCTGGCCCCGGAAGCCAGGGGAGATGAAGGAGATGGAAATGGAGCTGGAGCTTTGTCTGCATCTTCCTCCTCCTCTTTGATGGGAACTCAGCCCAGAAATAACTTACCCAAGCAGCATTTAGATAGAGTACTCACAGTGAAAGTCTCTTTATTGTTTTCTGAAAAGCAAGTAAATGAACAAAATGTCACAATTCAAATATATTTACTTTATATTTTCTTTAGGAAGAAGAAAGACCACAAATTAGAGGTGCTGAACTGGAGTATGAGTCACTTAAGGTAACGGGAAATTACTGTTCACAATTTTGTGTATTGTGTATTGTGGCAAGTTTTACAGAGACCTACACTAAGACCCCTCTTCCCCTCAAAGAACAGCCACAGGGGCTAAAAGCTTATGTCAGAGACTTTATACTTTTATTTAGGCATTATTTCTAGCCTCATGTTGCTTCCTCTTAGAAATTCTGTTTCATGCAAACTACACTTCAGTTATACTTCAGTTAGGAAGCTGGTGGCATAATCTGTTTTGAGTTGTGCTGCTAATTCAAAGGCTGCATGACTGTGATAGTCGGAATCCACTAGCTGCTCTGTGAGAGACAGACAGTATTATCTTCCTGTGTGACTTACTGCATATGAAAACCCACTGAAGGGTCAGCTATGAGTCAGTTCCACCTCAGCGAAACTCCACAACAGACACTCTCCAAACTCTCATGACATTGTTTAGTTTTTAGTAATATTACTTCAAGTCTAGTCACTGACCTATTGATTCCTAGTATTATGATTTAGAAACTATTTTTGCAAGGATGGCAAAGCTTCGTGTCACATACTTTGGGGATGTTACTACTAGAAAGGGCTATTTCTTGGAAAGGGACATAATTCTTGGAAAGGTAGAGGATCATTGGTAGCGAGGAAGATCTTTAACAAGATGGACTGACACAGTGACTGCAGCAATGGGCTCCAGTGTGTCAGAGATGATGAGGATGGTACAGAGTAGGACAGGGTTCAGATCTGTTGTTCACAGGTGGTTATGAGTCAGACTCAACTTGAAGACACGTAACAGCATCTCCTAGATTTATCACTGCCAGCGGCTCAGAACTGCTGATTGCTGCTTCCTCTTCTGGCTGTGTGGCATCTTCATGTACTGAGAACACTAGTCCTCCACTCTGCGCAAAGTCACAGTTCTTTTAGCATTAACTCCTTCCCTTAAAGGTAACTAGAACACTTCCATTGGTACTGAATAAATATTTTTAATACTACCTTGTATTTATTTTTCAATTTGAAAATACAATTATGCTTTTATCTCATTTAATCATTGTCATAACCTCATAATCTCTGAAATACATGTTTATTCCTTTTTAAAAGACTGCTAAACTGCAGTTTAGAACAATTAAGTTATTTACTATGGGATAATAAGGCTAATCTTGAACCAGATTTGCACTTTAAGACACTTTCCAAGATACTTGTAGTTTTTATCACTACTTATTTAGAAATTTTAATTTTTACAATTTTAGATAGATAGATAGATAGTAGTTTCTTTTATGTATATATATGGAGCTCTGGTGGTCTACAGATAGGAAGGATGTGTTACCAACCCAAAGGCACACAGTTTGAATTAAATATGGACAGTCTCCTCCCATGTTATTTACTCCCTCTGAAAACACACTGGATGGTCAGCTATGAATCATTTCCAATTCAGTAGTTCACAACAACTGCTAGATAGATATATTAGCTAGATAAGTGGCTAGATCCATCCATCCATCCATCAGAACCTTGATGAAGGGCTGATCCATAGGTTTCTGAGGCATGTAAATTACAATGAGAGAAGACTTCACCTTTCTCCTGAGGAGCCATTGGTGGATTCAAACCCCTAGAGATGCACGTCCTTTGAGCGGTGCCACTTGCTATAAACTGCACCACTAGTGCTCCATAATACGTGTGTGTATGTATATATAGTATTTACTTTTAAATCACTTAAAGAATTGTTTTACCCTTTCTAAATTATAACATGAATTAAGTTTTTATTCCATAAATAGAAGCACAACTTGTGTAATATTTGTATCTCTGGAAAAATAAGAGTTAACTCTGTTATTATTACTCTCCGTTTACTTTTTTTGTAGTTTTTGTCTAGAAGGTTAGTCATGTCAGCTATATAATGTTCACTAAGCTTTTAAATCTAAACTAGAGGGACTTTATGCTTCTATTTAAGTTTAGAATACTTTACTGATGAAGATCAAAGGAGAGGATGCAAATTTAGGTGAAGATTGAAGTTGGCAGTGATTTCATTTTACTTGAATCAGTACTCTTGGTAGCAGCAGTCAAGAAATTCTTTTTTAAGTTTTATTTTATTGATTTTAGTGAACATTTACAGAGATTTTGGATTTCCATTCATTCATTGTTGCACTTTTTTCTCTATTCCCCACCCCCACCCAGTTCGCTCCTCTCTTCGAAAAGCAAAAGATAAACTTCTTCATTGGTATACAATCCAAAGAAATCTTTTTGAAAAAAATTGTTGAATTAAGAAAATCTGTTGTCAGGGACTTCAGAGCACAGATGGCATTTTAAAGACTAAGGTGTCCTTGACCTTTTCATGATATAGTCAATTGCAATATATGCCTCTGAAAATTAGACAGTGAATAAGTGAGACCAAAGAAGAATTGATACTTTTGAATTTTGGTGTTGGGTAAGAATATTGAATATACCATGGACTGCCTAAATAAACCAAACAAATCTGTCTTGAAGGAAGTGTAATCAGAGTGCTCCCTAGAGGCAAAGGTGGTGAAATTTCATTTCATGTATTTTGGCCATGTTTTTAGGAGGTATCAGTCCTAATAATAGAAGTTATGCTGGGTAAAATAGAGGGTTGGTGATAGAGACCTTCAGTGAAATTTACTGACACAGTGATGGTAACAATGGATTTGAGAATGACACAAAACAGGCAAGGTTTTACTATGTTGTTCGTAGGGTTGATGAGTCAAACCAGTGACACCTGACAACAGTGGAACTCTCAGGTCTTGGCAATTCTGTGGATATCTATCTGTCTGTTACTGAATGTAGCCCACAAGCTTGATAGTCTGCCGTCTGCCTGCTATTTCTCCTTTTATCTATTGGGCCCTTGTACTTTCAGACTTGCAGGCTTAATATGCCTTTAGTCAAGCTATTCTTCACCATACGGTATAACATCCTACAATTTTTTATCTGTGCTTTCTAAAAATACTTTTGTGTTAGAAGTTCATTATCTAAACCTGACCCAAAGTTTAGTTTTTGTTGGCCTCAGAAGTTATTATACCTTTTATATAAGCCTATGCTATGTGTGTGCTTTGTATATTAAAATGTACATAAATAGAATATTGTTATTGTTGAACACCATTGAATTAAAAACTGACTCATAGGTGACCCTCCAGTGGTTTTTCAGAGGCATAAATTACCTGTCTTTTTCCCATGAAGCAGCTGGTGGATTTGAACCACATACCTTTGTGTAGGTAGGGCAATTCATTACCACTAAGCCACCCTTGTAAATAGAATTGTTGTTGTTGTTGTTATGTGTCATCAAGTCTCTTACTACTCATAGCGACCCTATGTACAATAGCCCTAAACCCTGCCCTAGCCTGTGCCAATCACACTGTCTCTGACGCACCTACCCTCATTACCCCAGTCACTGAATCAATCCATATCATTGAGGGTCTTCACTATTTTTAGATGGTAAAAACCCAAAATAAAATTCCACTGGCATTTCTCTGCTCTAGGCTGCCCTCTTTAGATCACATTTATAAATATAGACGAGAGTATTTACTTAACCATTGTTAAAATTTATACAATACGTACAAATGTGCTCAGAAAGTCTTTTTACTATTATATTCATTAGCTTAGTAGGAATTGTTAAGAATCTTTTTTTAAAACACCACAGGGAATATGCCCTTACCAAATTGAGAAACAAAGCATGCAAGTTTCCGTGGTTATGTCAACAGCCCAGTGTAAAGTAATGTTGGCTGGGCCTGCATACCTACACAAGGTCCAGAGTGATAGACCTGGGACCATCAGATTATACCTTTAAGAGCATTTCACGGTGGCAAAACAGTTTTCAAAGGATCAACACCCTTACTATATAGACAAATAGCTCTCCTTTCTTCTGTCCATCTTAATCCTCCTCGTGTGATGTTGACAGATGAAGCCAAACATGTGCCTGATGTAAGTGTAGCATTTGATATGATTTGACAGGCCAGGGAATGACCACCCCTCTCCACCCCTTCTCTCTCTGCCCACCGCCAACAAAAATGCTCAAATAGAGACATTCTCTGTAGTGCATTCAAAATGAAGCCAAGTCCACAAAGGTTCCAAGTATTGAACTAGTTGTCCTCAAAGTGTGGTCTCCAAACCAGCATATCCATACCTCCTGATAACTTAGAAATGCAAATCCGTGAATCCCCCAAAACCTATCAGCTCAGACTCTCTCTCCCTCTCCCTCCATTTCTCCCCCCCCCCACTGTGTGTGTGTGTCCCAGCAGTCTGCCTTTTAGCGTGATCTTCAGGCATCTCTGATGTACACTGAAGACCAGGAGGCACTATGTTAGGGCTTAGGCTTCACCATAGAGGCATTTATGTATTTGCTATTATAGGAATGAACATTATGAACCTGATTGTCACTTGGTAAAAGACTAGAGATGGGAAAGGACATTTATGCTCACATAAGAACAGATTAATTCAAGAGAAGAAGAATCACATGTTCTCAAGCCAGAAAAATAAAAGCTTTCAAAGTTTTGATGTGGCAAACCCAAGATTGCTTTTCTAGGAAGAATCAAAACCATATTTGATCTTTACACAGAAGTGTCTTATTTCTGCTGTCACAAGGCCTTGTGTCTTATGCCTAATAAGGCACCATGGTGATTTTTACTGTCTTGTCTACTCTAATGAACTACCTCCACCAGTAATCTTATGATGCTGTTGGTTTTGTGTCAGTTTGTTCACTTCTGGGTTCCCATTACCGCTGATTCAGTATTGTGAGGAGAGAGCAGCATTATAAATGATTTCAGGAATATGGCTAGTCATATGAGAAAGTGTGGAGGGACAGTGTTTGGCCAAATGGATGCAAAGGGAGAGATAGCCCCTCTTCTCCATTATATCCCAAGCCTTCATTCAGAACCTTCAAAAGCATGCCCCATGGGGCACTAGCTTGTAAAAAGAAACTGTTATCAAACCACTAACGATAATTTAATCCATATAAATGATAATTTATTAGAAAATAAAGTCCTACATTTTAGTGGTCTTTCCATTTGACTTTTCAAAGGTTGTAATAGAATCCTATTCAAGATTGTAAAGATCAACACATGTGGGGTTGGTGAAGGGTATTGCAAATGCCATGGTTTGCCAAAAGAACGAATCTGTCTTGGAGAAAATGTAGCTAGGCGCTCCTGAGAAGCAGATACTTTGGACCTATTGTCAGAAGGGGCAAGCCCTTGGGAAAAAGACATGCTGGAGAAAGGTAGAGTGTAGAGTGAAAGTGAGGAAGCCCCCATGAGATGGTTTGCCACAGTGACAGTGGTAGTGGGTTTGAGCATGGTGGAGATCACGAGAGTGATACAGAATTGGGCAAGGTTCAGATCTGTTACTCCTAAGGTTTCTATGATCTGTCGTTGACTGGATGATACTTAACAACAACAACCCTTTCTGAGCCATGTTTTAGAAGGATGTGACCGGCTGGACCATCAACCTTGCTCTTATACCCACTGTCATTGAGTTGATTCCAATTTATAGCAAACCTCCGTGAGTTTTCCAAGGCTGTAAATCCATACAAGCAAAAATACAGCCTTTCTGCTGGCTTCTCAGGACTGGGTTAGACTCATCCTTGTACGTCAGTAATCTCTCCAGACCTGTGCGTACGCCCTGGGCTGAACTGCAATAAATTTGATTCTGGAATTTGGGTTGATGAAGTAAACCACCATTCATCTTGCCCAATATCATTTGGTATAAGACTTCCTTAATTTGCAGAGCAGTTTTCAACAGAACACAGGAAGCCATTCACTAGGTTTAGCTCTGATGATCTTTCCTAACAGAATTCTTCTACCAGCCTCAGGGAGATTCAGCACTCTAAGGTGCAGGTGAGGATGACCACGGCTAATTTTCCTTTATCTCCTCATACAGCGTCAAGAATTAGAATCCGAAAACAAGAAACTGAAAAATGAGCTCAACGAGTTACGCAAGGCTCTTAGTGAGAAGGGTGCCCCCGAGGTGACTGCTCCAGGAGCTCCTGCCTACCGTGTCCTCATGGAGCAGCTGACCTCTGTGAGTGAGGAGCTCGATGTCCGCAAAGAGGAAGTCCTCATCCTGAGGTCACAGCTCGTGAGCCAGAAGGAGGCCATTCAGCCCAAGGTAAGCATGAGCAAAAGGCTGCCCTGGCCTCCAGCTCCTCATATCTTTTCCCACCAATTTATAAAGAAGCAAATGCGTAAGAGCGAGCTTGTCCTAATTTCAGCTCATTAAAAAAAAATTCAGAGATGTTATAAAATGATTGAACAAGCCAACTGGGGTGAGCAAAATACTAGTGAAATCTCAAATGATCTGAACAGTTAACACCTCTCACTCATAAGCCAAGGGCTTTAATCGGAACCCAGTCACAACAGATTTAACTCAAGAGGAAAATACTATTAAACATAAAAATCAACTTGTATGCAATTAAAGATTAAAATTGACTTGCTGTGGGAGGCATTAAGGGCTAATTTTAAGTCCTTTGTTGCAAATGATCTTGTTAGCCGCTGTGGGGAGTTTAGAAATGACAGTGAGGGAGCTCTGGTGGCCTAGTGGCAAGAAACTGCACTGCAATCCCAGAGATGTGCGGTTCGAATCCACCAGATGCTCTGCCGGAGAAGGGGGGACAATCTCCTCCTGTACCAGTCAGATCCAATTTGACGGTACACACACACACACACACACACATAATAAAATAAAAATAAAAATTTAAAAAAAAAAGAAAGAAATGACAGAGAGTGGAAGTTAGTTGGATGATGACCACTCACATCAGGGTTTCTGTGTGTAACCAGGGAGCTTCCCAGCCAGAGGGGCTATCTTCAGGTTTGTGACAAAAAGGACCCAAACACTGGGAGATCTGGAAGTCCTTCCTTAACATCAAATGATTAGAGACCAAACACAGCCATTTGCTGATGAAGAAAATAGACCTTTTGGTTATTGGCAGAGGGAATATCTGAGTAATCACTTTGACCCCCCCTGGCTGTGTCCCTTACTCAGAATTTGAAGCAGCTAAGCATTTCAGCTATATGACCTGTCACATAAGAAATGTCCATAATGATTTCATATGCCTGAAAAGTCTGAGAGTGCTTCTCACAGAAATGGCATTCTGCACATGCTTAAGATACTGTATTGTGTTAGGATTTTATAAAGGCAGCTCACACGTGGGATTAACCTTCATGCAGAAAAACATTAGAATCTCAACATGACATATGTGACTAAATACTTGTGGGGAAGGTCCCAGTGGTAAGTAGAGCTTTGTAAAGAAATGAACTCCCTTGTTAAACAAGTCACTAAAATTAGGTCTGAAATGAGAAGAGCTCAGAAGGGGACTTTTCATTTTGCCTTGTCTGTGTGGCTTTCACCTTCCCTAGGGACTGCCTCACATGATTTTCAGGGCTCCTGCTGTGGCTGGGCCTTGAAAAACAACATTCCTACATACTGGCTTGTTACTGTTGGGTGCCAGGGTGTGAAGACTCACAGCGACCTTGTGAACAATAGACTTGAACCCTGTCCTGTCCTTTGCCATCCTCATCGACTCTGACACACTTGAGCCCATTGCTGCAGGTATTGTGTCAGTCCATCTCATTGGGAGTCTTCCTCTCTTACCCTGACCCTCCACCTTTCAAAGAATGATGACCGTCTACAGGGAATAGCCTCTCCTAGCGACATGGCCACAGTATGAGAGAAGCAGCTTCGTCATCTTTGCCTCCAAGGAACACTCTGGCTACACTTGAGCAGAGTACAAAATCAAGATTCTTTCTCTGGTTCCCTTATGACAAACTAGTATTTTCACTAGGCATTGTAGTAAATTTTAAGAAAAAAAAGAAACAAGGGCTATAGCACAGCTAAGAAAGCATATAGTTCTGATCTCAAACAGTTTTACTTACCCTACTTACATATTCCACATGAAGTCCACTGCTCTCTAGCCTCTCTTAAATTGGCACTGCCTGAGCAAAGTCCTTGACCTCCCAGCTCCCAGCCTATTTATGGCAATGGCCATTCTGTTTCTGCCTTAGCAGTCTTATTCTCCCTTAAGAAAATTGTGCATGACCCTGCCTCAGGCCTTTCTGACATGCTGCTGCTACATTGTCCCACTCAGTTTCTGGTCAGAGAGGCATCATTTCACAACCACTTTATAGAACCGTGATAAATGACACCCAGTGAGTCCAGCCAGGACTAGCTTAACTGCTCCACCTCCACAAATATTTCAGGAGGTTTCACTTGAATAAGTAACCTTCAAAAGGGGCAGTGAAGTAATTCTCCTAGACCTACATATGTTTTGCTGTGTATATTCTCACTAAGAAAAAGAAAAAAAAAATTAAAAAAGAGCGCAAAAAAATAAAATTTTGTTTCCATACATTAACAGGAGGGACATTCTCTCTCATACTCAAAAACACTGTATAACCAGAAAAACTAAATATCTCAAAAATAATCCTAAACACTTGTTCCTGAAAAATAGGAACCACCACCATGGAAGTACATACACATTAGTGCCCATCCTATGCTGGTTCCATGAGATTTAATTTATTAAGTTAAATTGTAACCAACTTTAGGAGAAACAACCATGAGTATTCTTAACAGTTTTATCTATTATGATGGGGACTCATTCATGGAATTTATGTTTTCTGTTTTCTTATGCTTCCTGACTTGTGAATTTTAGGATGATAAGGTAAGTATAAGCTTTCAAAAGCTTTTAGTAACTAGATCTATCTTTAAAAAAATTAATGTGAAATATATATAATAAAATCTTTGCCATCTGAACTATATTTGAACATGTAATTAGTAACGTTAATTATATTCACCTTGCTATGTTACCATGACTCCTATCCTTCTCCAAAAGTTTTATATCACCCCAAACAGAAACTCAGTAATCCATTCCCTTCATTCCCTGAAGCCTTGGTCACTACTAATGATCTCTCATCTCTAGGCATTTGAATATTCTAGATATTTCATCTAAGTGGGATCATATAATATTTACCCTCTTAAAAAAATCTGACTTAGTCTACTCAGTATAATGTTTTCAGAGTTCATCTAAGTCATCACAAGTATCAGAAGAGTTCTCTTTAGGGTTGAGTAATACCACATTGTTATTTTGCCACAGTTTGTTTATTCATGTGGATCCTTTTGTTTGTACACTTTGATTTCCACCTTTTGGCTTTTGTAAAAAAATACTGCCGCAAACATTGGTATATACATTATATGTTGAAATCCACTTTAGGAGTAGAATAGTTAGGTGGGTTAAATAATGTCATATAATGCAATTCTATGGTTCATTTTTTTAAGGAACCACAAAACGATTTTCCTTAGTGAGTACACCATTTTACCTTCTGCTGGCAAAGTGTGAGGGCTACATTCTCATCATTATATTTTTTCTGCTTTTCTGATAATATACATCTTAGTGGATTGTGCTTTAGATTTTCATTTCCCTAAAAATGAATACCTTGAATATCTTTTCATGCTTAGTTATTATTTGCCAGTTTGCCAAATTGTTGAGTAAATACTTTTCCTTAATCCTTTCAGTTTATAGAGTTCCTCTAATATATAGTTAATACATTCTGACCACAGAGTCCATTTTTATGTATTCAAATTAATTTTGCATATGACTTTCCTATTTTGGAGGTCAGCGGCACTAGGCTCCAATCTTCTCATAGAGGGGTCATCATGATTTCTCATGCAGAGTCAGCTCTGTGATTCATTCTAATAATTAGGATGGGCTTCCCACAAGCTAAGGAAAGGGAGCACTCAACTTGGAATATACTGAAAACACAGTCTCTTTGGAACTCCTACTTCTTTCTACCAACTGTCTATTTGCTGGCCCACATGTGGGGAGCAGTCTGAGGAGATAAACACTTCTTCACTACAGCAACCATTTCCTTGAGTTAGTATCCATAACTAGAGTGCAGAGTAGCTCCTGCTGAGACACAATTCAGTTCCTTACCACATCTTCTTGTCATCTGTAAAGTGAAGGATATGCTGAGATTTTCCTGTGTAATACAACCCTTCCAGAACCTCAGTTCACTGGCTAGAGGAGAAAAAACTGAGGAGGGAGTCTGAAACTTCCTAATGCTGTTGGGCTGAGTCTGATACTTTTTCACTCCCAACACCACCCCTTCTTAGCTAAGGCTGGCAAGACAAGGGAAGGACTGGCTGCTGACATCCTAGGCAATACTGTGCTCAGAAACATATATTTCTCTTGGTCTAATTAATTGGGCCAAGTTATCCAATTTACTAAAGTTCAAAACTGTATCATGTCGATCCTCAGATATCAGAGAAAACATATAACACCATATGCCATTGGGATTTATTATACGTGTATCTTAAAAATCCGCTATGACTCTATGTGATAAAAGATATTCTGTCTTTTAGGGCAAGAGAAAAACTATGAAATATGTTGTTATTGTTGTTGTTGTTGTTGGTGTTGGTGGTGGTGGTGTTATGTGCTGAGTTGTTTGCGACTCATAGCGACCCTATATACAAGAGCCCTAAACGCTGTTCTATCCTGTGCCAACCTCGCCGTCTCAAACACATTCATTCCTACCATTCCAGTCACAGAATCGATCCATCTCATCGAAGGTCTTCCTCTCCTTTGCCGCCCCTCCACTCTCCCAAACATGGTGTCCCTCTCCAAGGATCAGTCCCTCCTTGCAACATGCCTAAAGTATGTCAGACGAAGCTTCAGAATCCTTGACTCCAAGGATCATTCCAGCTTCACCTTCTCCAGGACAAACCTGTTTGTTCTCCTAGAAGTCCATGGTATGTTCAATACTCTTCTCCAGCACCACAGCTCAAAGGCATCAATTCTCTTTCTATCATCCCTATTCATTGTCCATCTCTCTGATGCAAAGCAATGTAATTGCAAAGATGCACCTTAGTCTCCAGCCTGACTTCATTGCTCTTCAGTAATCTTGAGAGGTCCCTCACAGCCGACTTTCCCAATGCAATTTGTCTCTTGATTTCCTGGCTGCTATTATCAAGAGTGTTGAATGTGGAGTCAAGTAAACTAAAACTGTTAACTATCTCAATCTCTATCTCAGCATCCATACTGATGCTGCCAATTGGCCCAGTGGTGAGAATCTTTGTTTTCTTGATGTTGAGCTTCAATCCATATTGAAGACTGCAGTCCTTGACCTTCTGCAGCAAGTGCTTCAGGTCCTCCTCAGTTTCAGCAAGCAGGGTTGTGTCATCTGCATAACGCAGGTTGTTGATGACTCTTCCACCAATCCTGATGCCACATTCCTCCTCGTACAGCCTAGCATCTTGGATGATCTGTTCTGCTTACAGATTGAAAATATATGGAGACAGAATACATTCCTGACGGACCCCCTTCTTGATTTTGAACCATGTAGTGTCTCCTTGCTCTATTCTGATGACTGTCTCTTGGTCCAAGTATAGGTTTCGCATTAGCACAATCAAATGTTCTGGGATTTCCTTTCTTCTCAGAGTCAGCCACAGCTTGTTGTGATCCACAGTGTCAAAAGCCTTTGCATAGTCAATGAAACACAGATAGACATTCTTCTGGTATTCTTTGCTTTCTGCCAAGATCCATCTAACATTAGCTATAATATCCCTAGTACCACGACCTGCACATCTGGCAGTTTCTCTGTTGACATATTGTTCCTAACGTTTTTGGATAATTTTCAGCAGAATCTTGCTTGCATGTGATATTAACGATATTGTTCAATAATTTCCGCACTCTGTTGGGTCACCTTTCTTTGGAATGGGAACAAATATCGATCATTTCTAGTCAGTCAGCCAGCTGGCTGTCCTCCAGATTTCTTGGCACAACTTAGTAAGCACATCCAGGGCAGTGTCTGTTTGTTGAAATATGTCAATTGGTATGCCATCAACTCCTGGAGCCTTGTTTTTTTGCCAATTTCTTCAGAGCAATTTGAACTTCCTCCTTCATCACCATAGGCTCTTGCTCATATGTTATTTCATGAAATTCTTCTGTGTCAGCCAATTCCTTCTGATACAGTGACTCTGTGTATTCCTTCCATCTTCTCTTGATACTTCCTGGATCATTTAACATCCTACCCAAAGTATCCTTAAGTACTGCTTCCCGTGGTTTGAATTTGTTTTTCAGCTCCTTCAGCTTAAGAAACGCTGAATGAGTTTGGCCCTTTGGATTTTCTAACTCCAGCTGTCTGCACATTTCATTTTAGTATCCTGCTTTGTCGTCCCTGGCTGCCTTTTGAAATTTTCTGTTCAGCTCTTTGATTTCTTGGTTTCTTCCTTTAGCTTTGGCTTCTCGGCGCTCTAATGCAGTACCCAGAGTCTCATCTGACATCCGTCTTGGTCTTTTCTTCTTTTTCAGCTTTTGTAATGATCTTTTGCATTCTTCATGGACGATTTTCTTGTTATCCTCCCAGAGGTCATTTGTTCTTCGGCTTATTGGTGCTTAAGGCCTCAAACCTGTTCCTGAGATGGTTTTTAGATTCGAGTGGGACAGACTTAAGATCAAATTTTGGTTCCTGTGGACTTGATTTAATTTTCCTCAACTTCAGCTTGAACTTGCATATGAGTAGTTGGTGGTCTGTCCCATAATCAACACCCGGCCTGGTTTAGCTAAATAAATGTTATATGTGGTGGTTGTGAGAGTTTAAAAAAAACAGTCATTCAGTATAATACAAGATTTGTTGATAGCTCATAAAAGATTTTACTTAGCCTTCTCAGTTGATACACTTATAAATTCACCAAAGAAAAGCATTAGAGAAAAGTAGTATCTTTTTTCTTTTTTTCTGTAGAATGTTTCTTGTAAAGATTAACATTCAAAAGCAAGCATTTATATTCCTTTCTAGACTGCTAGTTGGCATCAAAGTTCTCTTGGTATGAGTCTTTAAGATTATGGCATTTAAAATATATTCTTTTAAGCCTGCTGCGTTATGAAGCTTGACTTTAGTGCAAGCATTGACTAAATGATAGCACATATATTATTTTGAAAAACAGAATAGGATTTTTAAATGTAATATTCTTTAAAGGCTGTAAAGCACTGATTCTTATTGTCCTTTCTTGCCTTTGTTTAGGAGATATAAAGAGTAGCTGAGTAGAAGCAAAATTTTGAAATTACATTTGTTATCAGACAGATTAGACTAAAAGGATGAAGTAAAAATAATAGCAGAAAAGTCAATTATACAAAATCATTAGTAATTTTGACCTACCAGATGTTTAATTCAAAAGCTTATTTACCATGCTATACTGTACAAAGGGGGGGGGGAAAGAGTTGAATAACAGCAGATGGTAGATCTTTATATATCCTAACTTTTCCATTTATCTGCCTAAATATGTGAGGAAAATTTAATTTTTAATTTGGCTGCAATGTGGTATCTAAACATTGGTTTGTTTGTATATTCTAAGTTTTTAATAGAAAAATTAACTATGTCAAAATTTGACTGTTTCATTGGAATGTTTGTTTCATTTTAACTGGTTAGTAAGTAGTGGAAAGAATAGCTGTGTGTTTTACATTAATTAGATGTTCAGTTTCTTACCTGGTTATTTTTCTAATGCATAAATCTTTATATAAAGTTAGGTCGTTGTTTATTTAACATAATCTATGGCATAGGCAGTCAGTAAGTGATTTTTATTTACCAGGCAATAGTACTCTAGAATCTTAATAACTTTGTCATTATGAATTAGATGTCAGGAGAAGGAACCAAATTCTTCTTTCTCACCTGAGCCACCCGCACTCTTTTCTACAAATACATAGGACTGAGGTTGATAGTAGGCAGAGGATGGATTACATGTTGTTCGGTGCTTTTGAGTCAGTTATACACAGCAGATATGCAAATACATATACATCATATACATCGTATACATCATATAAGTATACGTATACATATACATATACGTATACATAGCAGATCTGCTCCATAATTTTCAAAGCAGTGACATTTCTAAAGTAGATCACTAGGGACCTCTGACTGTGTTTAAACTGCAAGCTTTTCAGTTAGTAGCATAGTGCTTAACTGTTTGCACCACTTATGGACTCAATAAATCACCCTCTATTTTGGAAGAATGAAATGTATGTGGCCAAAGCTTCTAAGTCGAATCTGTTTAAAAAATTTAAATATCTTTTAATTTTCTAGAAGACCATATGATACACATTGTATAAGGAACACACTATTGTTTTGCAGTAAAATTCCAGAGTATACAAATTGAAATATAAAGCTAAACACTGATACTCTGACAGCATTTCTGAACTTTGGAGAACTAAGTCAAATCTAATGTGGAAATGTGTCATTTCCCCTTCAGAATACAATGACAGATTCCACAATCCTCTTGGAAGATGTACAGAAAATGAAAGATAAAGGAGAAATAGCACAAGCATATATTGGTTTGAAAGAAACAAACAGGTAAGTTGAATCCTTTTTTACTAATTTTGCTTTAGTCCTCTTGGTTTTTAGTCTTCAAATCATTCTTTTTCAGAATCATTGTTTTGTTGGACATCAACTGAAAATTTCTAGTAGAGTCCCAGTTAAAATCTCATTTACAATATAAAGTAATTATTCATAATAAAAGATGACAGGAAAGTATTCTCTGAATCAAGACTTTTTTTTTTTTTAATATGTAGGACTTACTTTTTAAGAGGCTGCCTTAGGAAGAACACCAGTTTCTTACTGGTGGATGTCTTGCACAAAAAGTCTTCATTTGTTTTTCAAAATGGTTACTTAGAAACTTTTTGAAGGCCAGCTGCAGCTTAAGTTTTTAATAATTGAAGTTTTGTGTAAAGAGAGACCTGATACAGGCCATGGTTTTTGCAATCACTTGTTATGCATCAGAGAGTTGGACAATGACTATAGGGAGGATAGAAGGAGAATTGACACCTTTGAGCTGTGGTGCTGGAGAAGAGTATTGAATGTACCATGGACTGCCAAGAAAACAAATAGATTCATCCTAGAGAGGGTTAAACTAGGCTGCTCCTTGGAGGCAAGGATTCTGGGGCTTCGCCTGACATACTTTGACATGTTGTAAGGAGAGACAGGTCTTTGGAGAGGGACATCATGCTGGGCAGAGTGGAGGGACAGCGCAGGAGGGGAAGACCCTCTATGAGGTGGATTGATTCAGTGACTGGGGTAATCGGGATGGGTGTGTCAGAGGCAATGAGATTGGCACACGATAGAGCGGGGTTTAGGGCTGTTGTACATCGGGTCACTACGAGTCGTAAACGACTCGACAGAACATAACAATAACAACAACTACAGTATACATAGTCATATTTCTAATAGAAAAGTAATTTCTCCTGGTCTTACAATTAATTTTTTAATTGCCAAAATTTTTTAAGTCACTTCACAAAAGCTGAGAACTTTGAAATTACTCTTATTTAAGTTATAACTTAATCCAATAGAATTTTAAAAAATATGTTAAAATGGGAAGCCAGATATATATTTTTTAAGCTAAACCTAGCTCCTAATCAGAAGATTTGAAACTTTGTCAGAAGTAGCTTGTGGAGATTGTCACATGAAGAGAATGGCTGAAGGTTTACTATCAATGTCTGTCTGTCATGATTAATCCCTCATACATTACGTGGTAAAGTTCTTCTGATGAATGATTAAAATATTAAAAACAGAACCTCTTTCTCACTTATTTCTTATTTTTCAAGAAAAGTAACTCTGGATCCTAGATTATTTTACCTTGTTTCCTACCCATTTTGTGTATCATACTATTGAATGCTCATTAAAAAAAAAAAAAACGAACCAAAAGTAATTTTGTGGTATTGTCTGAAAGTCATTTGTAATTAATAGAAGCAGTTCTTTCCACAATATACTATTAAATTGCTGTATGTAGCTCTTGACCATCACCATCTCATTACCATCCGTATCCTTTTGTGTTTTGCATTGTTGGTCCTTTTGCATGGAAGATCATCTGCTATGGATTGCCATGAGTTGAATGAGGATGGAGAGCTGTGGCTGGTTTATGAAGGGTTAAAACAAGCCAACAGGTTATATTTGTCTCCTCCAAGATGGGATGTTATTAACTTGTTGTTTTCCTTACTAACAGTGGCTTCCTAACTTTAACACCTGTATCTTTTATGTGTTACTTGTCTTCTTGGGTAAATTAATTTCCATAAACCAAAACATTCAGCCACACACCTTTAAAAAACTTTCTCTACTAAATTAAATGTCATTAAAGTTAAAACTAGTTGATGATGGATACTTCCTATAAGTGAACTACACTTTCTAGAGTTCTCCTCAGGCATAAAATGTGTGCATCTCTTTCTCCCTCTAGGAGTTAGAAGAAAGACAGTAATAGTACGACTAAGACCCAAATGTTGTTCAGGCAGAGATTTCTTGATGATAGGAGGTCATTAGGTAGGTAAAGAAAGGCCAGGATATAAAAGTTCTGGGCAGGTCAGTGAGAGGGAGGCAGGTAGGAGAGAAGACAGAAGGGGGCTGCAGGACCAGGCAGATGGAGAGTGAGCGGGGTCCCACCCAGGGTAGGTGCTGAGAGGCAGCATTCCACGCCAACACCACTACCACCCCACCCCTGTGGGCTCCTCAGTGCAGAAGGGGATACTGCAGTGCTGTGTCCATCCCAGGACTAACTGGGGCACCTGATGATGAACGACAGTAGGGCAGGGCCTGGGGGAAACAGACACCCGTGCTCTCACTCTCACGTAATGCTGATTTCTAATAACAACCTGATGTTTGAAACCCATCCATGTCTATAAAGGAGGAATGGGTTGAATTCTTTAAATTAAACACAAATATGTTTAGAAGAAAGCATATAAGATCAAAACAGCAATACTCCTCTAAACACTTATGTTTTCTAGTGACCTTTGTATCTTAAGTCTTATAAAACTATATATAAGCAGTTAAATTTTAAAAATGCTTAATATTCTGTTCTGTTTGTTCAAGGGGCTTCTGCTTATTCTGCTTTATTCTCATCATAAAATATTGTCATTAACTTCAGTGTGTTATGGTTTCAACTTTATTGAAATTTTGTAATCACTGAAGTATTTGTCTGCTGTTAATATGCTTGCAATGGCTTCACTAAGTTTTGCCAAGCAGTTGGCTGAATTAGAATAAAAGAATGTCTTTTCTTTCTTAATGCAGGGTTAGCACCTTAATGTAACTTTGTATTTGAAAAAGGGATTCATGTAGAAATGAGAGTGAATGGGAGAACACCATGCTCTAGTCCTCTCATCCCAAAGCCCAGGCATCTAAGTGGGCCAGCTGGCCGTTATGTTTGCTTAGATAAGCAGTGAGACTTTGTTGATCTACTGATACTCTAGAACAAGATTCTCAAAGCTATTTCTCTTCATATAAACTTAGTAATAACTAAGTTTATGGGAAAAGAAATGAAAAATTTTAAGATATCTAAGTGTGTATATAAACACACACAAACTAGAGTTGAGTAAACTGATAGATATTTCAAAATAGTCCCCCAAAGTTGAATATAAAATTGGGACCCTGGTTCCACTCTCTCCCTGAAATTAGCAATCCTGACATTCTTATTAATTATCATTTCAATGAACATTTCAGAGGAGCTAAACTCTGTTTTGTAGAGCCTTTGAGTACTTTATAGCAGTTTCCACAATTAAGAAAGACACAAAGATGAAGGGATTCATTACTATTTCTGACCTTTGAGTTTCTTGACTTTAATCAAGTCAGAAGATAAGAGGATGCTAAAGGGTATCTGCTTTTCTTACCTTGACAAGTGAACAGAACACCTTGTACCCACGGGACAGGGTGTCATCTCCTCTTCCTACCTGTGTGGCTTCTCCACAGGCTCCTGGAATCCCAGCTCCAGTCACAGAAGAGGAGCCATGAGAATGAGGCCGAGGCCCTCCGAGGGGAGATCCAGAGCCTGAAGGAGGAGAACAACCGGCAACAACAGCTGCTGGCTCAGAACCTGCAGCTGCCCCCAGAGGCCCGCATCGAGGCCAGCCTGCAGCACGAGATCACCCGGCTGACCAACGAAAACTTGGTGAGGAGATGGAGAGGGTCCTGGCAGAGCCAGTGCCGGCCTTAATGTCTTAGTTCTTTAAAAATTAAACATATTTTCCCCTTGCTGGGAAAAAGTCACCACCCCACACTTATTTCCTGCATACACAAAAAGACAGAGTCAGGAAAATATTAATACTGGTAGAAATTAAAAAAGGCATATGTTCTTGAGAGTGTGAGCATTCTCAGACCTAACTTGAAGGGTCTGAAGGATAGCCAGCCAAGTGCTGAGTTTTTACTCTCCTAGAAAAGAGTCTGTCCCAAGATCTCAGCTGCAGGTTATCTGCCATTCCAAGACATGTGTAATGTGATTACCATGACAGAGAATGAGGAAAGGCTCCACCAGAAATATCCCACCAGCTAGCATGTGGAGGCCATGAACAATCAGGAGTAGAGAGTAGAGCCGAGGTCAAGAAAGGTGTTTGGGAGAAACAACAGGAGCTCTCTCCAGGACAGCGAAAAGGGTCATCAGGATTACGTTTAAACATTTTATGTTCTTTGTAATAGAATTTAAGTTATTTAGTGAAGTAAGGAGATTCATTAAGTCCAAGATTTTTTCTTTATTTCATTTTTTCTCTTTCTGTTACTTTGATAGAAAGTATTTTTTCTCTTAGTCATCACTTTATTGAAATATATAGTTTTTATTTACTTTAACTTAAGACTTAAATATTTTTATTATACTGTTGAAATTTTGTAATTCTACATTTCTATAAAAAATATCGTCTTATCAGTCTAGTTTTCAGAAAAACTTTAGGACTAGTATTGTGGTTTACATCATTTAAAAAAAGCCACAAACTAAGGATAATTAAGATAAAATAGTTTGAATTTTCTCTGAAGATTTAATGGTCTAAAAAATAGGTCCATTACACCTTTAGTGATCATTTACATTATATATCGTTTTCTGCCACCTTTTGCTTAACCAGCTTTAATACCAGTTGGAAGCAGAACCTAAAAGTATTCTTTCCATTGTCTGTTCTGTAGACAGTTTTCCATGTGAGGTCCCACGTGGAGGTGGGCGTGTTGGGACAGTTTGGGGCAGTATTCACACTCTTTCCAAAGGCTAGAATATCACCAGTTTGTGGAGGAAATTCTTTTGAATCTATACTATTTTTGAAGTGTTTTGTTACTCTTGACTTTATTATTGCTTAGACTAACAATGCTTTGATGACTAAGAATTGGTAACAATACTAAATCATATAATGATGATTGATTGGCATATAAACTCTATGCTTAAAATGATTATTCTAAAACACAAGGTGAAACCGTGAAATAAAGATGCTTCTAGGTGGCTGGAACCAACCCCTATTTCCCCTATTTTGTAGTTAGATCTTCAAAATTTGTTTACTAATTTGATAGGAATTTCCATTGCATCTTTGTTTGCTCAGTTAGTAATTTGCCTCGCACTTAATACTAAAATAATCTCCAAATTCCAAACTATAGTTAATGAATTTGCCTATATTGAGAGAGAAAGTTATGATCTAACAACTTCTGCCATTACATTAACTATAGATTAGGGGAAATGGATTAAAATTTAATTATATAAGTGAAATTATACACTTTCGAAAAATCATGATGGTTTCTCAGTCTTAATTCTGTGTATTTCCTTAGAAAACACTAAGAAGGCTATTAAAGCAGCAGTGAGCCTGACTTCAGATATTCTTGGAAGAATCTCATATCCCCTCCCCACCTACCTCCTATCACAAACAGAAAAAATGGCTTTTCTCCAGTGAGCATGCCTCACAGGCTTCCCCCGTGCTGCCTTTGAGTGGAGGAGGATGTGCTGCTTCTCACCAGCCTTTCCACCTTCAAGCGAGAGTGGGAACATAGCCACTATTATAACTTTCACTTTCTGTACCTTCTCCACTCTTTGCTACTGTTGACAGGGAAGAAGTGCAGCAACTGTGTGAACAAGCTGGTGTGAAGGAGGCTAGGGAGGAAAGGCAGAAGGCCTGAGGGTGAAACAACAGCCTGTCAACAGGGGCGCTTTGGGCCTAGCCCATTACTTTTTTTATTCTTGATATCATGCAAAATAATCAGCAAATATGGATTAGAATTCTCCATATTAGAAAGAGGCTGCTCTAGTTGTGCAGTCCAAGTGGTGCTGCTTACTCAAAGGTGGTGCCTCTGGCAGTTCAAATCCACTCACTGCTCCTTGGGAGAAAGATGGGTAACCTCCTCCCATGTGATTTATAACCTTTGAAAACTTACTCAAGGGGCATCTATGAGTGTTTCAGACTCAACAGCAGTGAGAGTAGACTAGAAACATAAGAAGGCAATGGCAGGTAATAAATCATTGCCTTTTGAGTACATAGTTTCATTTTTGTGTGTGTTTTAAAATATTCTAAATTGATTTTGCTGAGAAATAATAGCATCCCCCTCGAAGATTCAGAGAAAAACATATATCCATTATGCCTGTTTTTTCAGTATTTTGAGGAATTATATGCAGATGACCCCAAGAAGTATCAGTCATATCGGATTTCACTTTACAAACGGATGATTGTATGTAAACCTGCAGTGCTTTTCCGTTGTCTTTCTCCCTTCTAGACTCTCTACCTGAAGAGCACACTGGCTGCCTGTCCCTTCCCAGGAAGTCTTTTCAAAAACTTTCACACACCCTCTTTCTCCCCACAGCTTTCTTTTAGCCAGTAATGTCACCTCTCTCAGTGTCCTGTGTCCACGGTCTTGTTGGTTTGTAATTAACACTAGGCTTACAGTGTGATGGAAGCAAAATGTGACTCAGAATCTGAAATCCAGGAATCCCAGCTGAATTCTTGAGGTGTTAATAACTCTGCCTTTTGGGTATTCCTTTTGGCCTAGCATCTAAAGCCGAAAGCCTTGTCTATAAACTAGTGAATGGATAAATACTTGTGCTTTTCACATACTTTTTCTTATCCACAACTTGAATATCAGCCACAAATACTTGTGATTCCTTTACCATCTAATCTTTTTTTTTCTCTGAACTGTTATAATTCACTGTCATATTACTTATTGACTCTCTTTAAACTTTTGTCAGTTATTTGAGAGAATTCTTGATTAAATGGAAAGCTGTTGATAATCTAAATAATTTTTGGTTTTATATTTATACCTCTCATGAATGTACTGCTTTTTGTTTTCTCTTTTTTGTGTAAAGTATTCAGAATTAATCACTTTTTCCTTTCTGGAAACAAAAAATTATGTCACCCAATGCTATGGGTATATTATGCTGCCCACTAGTGAGAACTTAACCACTTTGGTCCAGTGTCAGCAGACTGCTCTTTATCCTATTCTATGTGGTTTAATTAAACTTGGGTTTTAATACCTCAATTTTATGAGCTTTTAAGTTGAGGATCCCTTGTGGCTCATTGTATTAAGTATTAGACTGCTAACCAAAAGGTCAGTGATCTGAATCCATCAGCCACCCCGTGGCAGAAAGATGAGACATTCTACTTCCATAAAGGTTTACAGCCTTGGAAGCCCTGTCGGGCAGTTCTGTTCTGTCCTGTAGGATCAATCTTGGAGTCAGAATCAACTCAATGTCAGTGGGTGGGTTTTTCACTTAGGTTATAGGAATAATTTGAACATATCCAAAGGCTGGGCTTCATGAAGTCATTTGCTTCACAAACTGAATGTTAGTCAAAACTCCATACCAAAAGGCAGTCATCCTTAAAACTTTCCATGAAATGTTTGGTGTATTCATCATTCATTTCTGTTTATTCACTTTTTAGATTACATTTCACAAGAATAACAATAAATTTTGCAAACATTTTGTTGGTTTTTCAATATGGAGTCTACTTGAAAACACTCCATAGTCAGCTTGCTGTCCATCATGCTGTAAAGGACTTGACTGTGTCATGTACTTAAATATTTGGCTTTTATTGTAGCTGCATTTCCCATGCCTGCCAGGTGGTGTCTCCACCAGTGAGCTTGTCTGGAGCTTTTATGTAAAACTAACTGCTTTTTAAATTTTTTTATTTTATGTCTGTTTTACCTCATTGTATTTTAAAAAGCCTATTTTGATCTTTTTACTTTATTTTTAATTTTGATGTTTAGGATTTGATGGAACAACTTGAGAAACAGGATAAAACTGTACGGAAGCTGAAAAAGCAACTGAAAGTATTTGCCAAAAAAATTGGTGAACTAGAAGGTATTTACATATATTTTTATGACTATTGCTAAATCTTGGTTTCATGTTGCTACATGAATTGTCTTATTTGCTAGTAAATATTAGGATAGTAACAGAAATGACTAGGCAAATGCAGATGTACTATTGCTTTTATAATCATAATACTTTACCAGGGAAGAGAATGCAGTTATTCATTCAACAAATATTGAATGATTATTTTTTCTATGGCAGGGACCTTGCAAAGCAGTTCAGTATATTATATGGATTATGATAATGCATATGGGGCCCAAACTTCTTTGTTTCAAATCCTGGCTCTGTCACATTCTACCAGTTGCTTTCCTGTCAACTTCAATTCATGGCAACACCATGTGTGACATAGTAGAACTTGGCACCAGAGTCTTTTCAAGGACTGATTTCTCAGAAGTAGATTGCCAGGCCTTTTTTCTCAGTCACATCTGGGTAGACTCAAACCCAAACCTCCCACCTTTCAATTAGCAGTCAATTGTACTAATCATTTGCAACACCCAGGGACTTTATGCCACTATTCACATCAAACTCTCTGCTTGAGTTTTTCTGTCTTTTAAGTGGAAATGATAATAGGCATGGTTTGTAAGGATTAAAGGAGTTAATATGTGCAATACGTTTGGAATAGTGCCTGCCACATAAATATGCTAGATGCAGCTTAACGCTTATATTCCTGCTATTATTAGTATTAATCCACTGCTGTGGAATTGAGTCTGACTCAGAGTGATCATCTATCAGGTTTCAGAGGCTATAAATCTTTACAGGAGAAGATAGCCCATCTTTCCACCAAGAGGTGCCTGGGGGAGTTAAACTACTGACCTTTTGTTTAGCAGTCTGACACAGTACCGCACCACACAATATTATTAGTATTGAAACTCAATACTCCGTATTATCAATATTCAAACTCAAAATTCATATCTGACCTTCCAGCAGGTTTTTGGAAATTATAGATCACTTGGTAGAGATTGCCCATCTTTGTCCTGTGGAATTGCCATCACATTCGTATGACAGAGAAGCACCTTTGAGTCAGCCATGTAACTCCTCCTGGAGTAAGCTACCAGAGTTCCCTGGATTATTTGTATTAATTATGTTTAAATAAATATTGTAGAGTCTATCACCTTAAAGAACTTACAGTTTAATGCTTGATCTTCTCTTGGTTAAGTCTTGTTCATCCTGCGAGGCTCACGTTATGTCAGGAGCAGCTTTTTCTAATTATCCAGATAGACCTTGTGACTGCTTTCCATGCACTAATAGGCTCCCGTCTTTGGTGGTTTTTTCTATGCCGTAATTTTGTTTCTGTTTGAATTATTGATTTCCTCAACATATTCTGAATGTTCTAAGCATAAGGATCATGTTTTATTTCCCCTGGCTTTTGCGGCACCTAAAAGTGTATGACCTATCATAAAATGTTTGTTGAGTGAATAAATAGGAATTTTAGAAATATTTAGAACAATGACAACATGGATGTTTACTTTGAACAGGATAATACTCCCTTGAATGTATAAATTCTTAAATGTTTGTTTAGAAAATCCAATAACCTTAGAATCAGATTTTTAAAAGATCCTTGAAGTGTTAAACAACTCATGTATTGCATCTCTGCTCTTTAAAATTTTGGAATCTCTAAGTCATAGTTACACGCACACAGGCTGGCTGAAGCATCTATTGCAGAACTTGCAAATCTTTATTCAAAGAACATTTCTTCACTTAAAACTAAACATATCATGAAAACCTAGTGTGACAGCAAAGTAGTTGCTTGTGAGAAAATGATTGTTAGGATATTGTGAGATTATTCTTGTAAACTTCTTGTGTTCCTTTGTCATACTTTAATACAGATAGATAAATGGGAAAGCCATTCATTGTTTTAAATGTTTAGTTGGCTTTCTTTTATATGTATGTTTTAATTAAAGTTAGAATACTGCAAGGTGTTAGGAATTTTAAATAATAGTCAGAATTCTAATTGCATCAGTTAAACTTGCTTCCAGGCATGTTCTTAAATCTAAAAGTAGTGTTTGAGAAGGTAGTTCATAGATGAAACAAAAAGGCTTAATAGCACCTACACAGAGTTATATTGTGAATTCAATGATACCTGACTAGAAATAAAACAGGATAGAGTTATGTGATTTGGACACTGACCATGCAATATCCCTGCCCTCCATCTGCCGCATAGTAGAAAATCAAAGTGCCCAACTCTGAGCATTTCTCTTCTAGCCTCTGCATCCCCTTATGCATCAAATACTGCCAAATTTGTAGAGTAGCCAAATTTTCTTTTAAAATGTTATAGCATACTTACTTGAATTTTTCTGATTCAAAATAGGTCTCTTGCCTCTTCCTGTGGGTCACTCTTAATTAAAAAGACGTTTTTTAGAAATCAGCCAAACTGGAGTTCTGTTTAACACCAACATATATCACTTTTAGCAGAAACTACATAGTTAAATGTAGAGTGTTTCAAAATCTGATCTCCTTTTCCCTGCATTTTCATCTAGGAGTGGGTATTGCTTCTTAATTTTTATAAAACCATAAAATTCAGAACAAAAGAATTCTAAAATCCTTTCATTATTTTATAGGAGGATAAGGCCCAGAGACTGAGTGACTTCTACTAAAGGTCTCTCAGTTAAATATTGGCTGAACTGTGGCTTCCAAGCCTCAGCCTAATGCTCTCTGCTTTATTATATTTTTTACATAATCTCCCTACCATGTTTCCATATTTTTAGACAAATAACATGCACACTATATAACCATTGTTGTTCTTTGTTGTAGTTTATCCCACATCCCAAACTCTGCAACCCCCTCAAGTTAATCTCCTGTGGATGTATTTGTTATTTATGCATGTTGTGTATGTGGACACATTACATGGGAAAGTATGGTACTTAAAGGAATTTATCTGTCTCAATTAAATCTAAGGTCAAAATTTCCCTCTTAGTGAGAGAGGAAAATTAGACAGAAAAGAATTTAGTAATTTTATCCCATGTTCTTTTCCAGGAAAAAAAAGCTTCACAAATATTTTCCCCTCCAGTATAAAGAATCTAGAAAATGGAAATAGACCTTGCTCCGGTATCTCTTTCAGAAGGCTGGCTGCCTGAGTCGAATAGTGCATTATACAGAATGACTTACGGTTCCTTTAGTCTTTGAAAACTGGAGTAGTGCTCTGGCTTATCTCCTTCAGGCTTTTTGTTTTCCTGATGCTAAGTAAGGGTTGACATTTTGTTTCAATTAGTAGATTATTTTACTAAATAATCAAGACTATGTTGAGCTATTTAATCTGTGAGTTTTTGTAAAGACAAAAATCTCTTAGAATACAAAGATAGAAACATTTTAATGAAAAGATGAAAAATTTTGTCTCTGACATTTTTGTTCACAACCAAAAATATCCTAGTTAAAGGTTTTTCTGGAAGGAAAGTAAAGCTTTCTTTTGAATCATGAAGCTTCTTAGTAAAAATACCATGTTTTATCAGTTCTAAGGTGCAGAATTTTTCACATTCTTAACATCTATAAAATTAGGATGTATCTTAAAATTTTAGGTATGCCTAAATTGGAAGAGTCTTCCTTTTTAGGGTTCTATATAATGATTTTGTTCATATTCTATAATGATCTCGTAATGAGTGGCATATAGTGACATCAGTTAAAATGAGAGCATTTTCTTCAAGTCACATGGAGTCCAAATAGCATTCATCATGAACAACATAAATCTTTCTTCTTAGAATTGTTTCTGTGGCTTAAAGTAACTAGAAACAGTTGAATTGGATCTAATTAGTCTGATTTTACATGCGACTGTAGGTCCATAAGCTGTGGAGATCACTTTGTACTGTTTCACAAGGACTCCTGGTATTGTATTTTACAAACTTTGTGAATAATTTGTATAAAACTAACCACTTGGAGAAGGACATCATTCTTGGGAGGGTGGAAGGACAGCACAGGAGGGGAGGGCCCTCTATGATGTGGATTGATTTAGTGACTGGGATAATCGCAAGCTTGCAACTCCTAGTGACCCTATGTACAACAGCCCTAAACTCTGCTCTATCCTGTGCCAATCGCACTGTCTCTGACTCTCCCATCCCAATTATCGCCTTTTTCTTTGAAAAAAAGATTTAAAAATTTACTAGCATATACCCTTCCATAAACATCATGATAACTCAGATTCCTTTGCTGTCCCTTGCATTTTCCATTTAATACTCAATTTTGGGAGGAAGTGGAGACTTTTTTTTTTAACAGGATAAATTGACTCACTGACTGTAACAATGGGTTTCAGGATATTAAAAATGAAAAGAATACATTTTCACATCACCTGCTGTGGAGAAGCACTGTTCTTCCACCTGCCTTGATGTGGTTTGGTCCAGTTGCAGTTACAGATTTAAAGTTAATGTCCTTTTTTCTCAGTGCTTCTCCCCACTGCCACCCCAGTGACTAGATTTGTGGAGATTAAAAAAAGAGAAGAAACCTTTTATACTCTTGCTACTTCTTTGTAGAATGTTGGGGTTTTCCTTCTGTTAATTAAACATCTTAATGTCTTTAGAAATTTCTGGTCATTTCTAACCACTAGTTAGCCAAAAGGTTAAAATACATATTTTGGGACATTTAAGTCTTTATATAAGTTAAAGGGTGATTATTATCCTTGAAAGTTTTTAATCAGGTAAGACCCTTTGATGTTGATAATAGTAAAGATCTCATAGCTGTAATAGCTGGCAGAGAGACATTACCATATAAATTGGCCATCTGTCTACCATATATTTTTTTTAAATGCAGGAACAAGTAAGGTGATGATAAATTTCTGTTGTTATAGACTTTAACTTATAGGAGTATGGAACTCTCTCATCTTGTCTACCTGGAAAACATTTTCTTCCCCTTTCTGTTTCCTATGAAGTGGGCCAGATGGAGAACATATCCCCAGGGCAGATTATTGATGAGCCCATCCGTCCAGTCAACATTCCCAGGAAAGAAAAGGATTTCCAAGGAATGCTGGAGTACAAGAAGGAAGATGAGCAAAAACTTGTTAAGAATCTGATTCTAGGCAAGTATTTTCTGCACAGGATGAAAGTTTGGAAAGTTAACAGGGAGAAAGACTAGTGACCAATTTTTGAAATATCTCACAGTGGAGTTTTGTGTAGTCCTCGTTCCATACTGTGTTGTTGTGCTGCATCAGTGTCCTAGCCACCTCGGGCCTTATCAGACAAGCTGCAGGGATAGTGCCTTGGACCTGTTAGGGACTAAATTTTGTTCCCTCAAAATAAGTGTTGTTAATCCTAACCTCTATGTCTATGGTTATAACCCCTTTTGCCTCTGTTATGTTAATGAGTCAGGGTTGGTGTGGAATGTGTTTTGAGTCAATTTCTTTTGAGATATAAAAGAATCTAAAGAAGCAGTAACCCAGCAAAAATGGGCAATGGAAGCAAAGCCAAAAGAAGGTCTCCAAGGAGTCTGTAAACAAACTAAGATAAAAAGACCTTCCTCTAATGCTGGTATTCTGAATTTGGTCTTCTATCCTAAACTGTGAGAAAATAGATTTATGTTTGTTAAAACCATCCACTTTTGGTATTTCTATTATAGCAATACTAGGTAACCTAGACAAGCCCACTCTTATGGATCTTCTGATGCCAGACCTGGTTAGAATTTCCTGGAGAGTTTTAACAAGTATATATATATATATATGTCTTATATTCCAGGTCAGTTAAGTCAAAACCTCTGTGGGAAAAATCTGGTCCAGTATAGCATTTTCACAAACCTCTCAAAATATTCTTAAGTGTAGCCATGGTAGAACACTGCTGTTTTCGATTATGTCTCTAATATGTCCAAGAACACAATTTAATAAAAAAGAGGAAACAAATACATTAAGAAAAATATTCTAGCAGTAGAAGAGAAGGACTGACAAATGATAAGAGCAAAGGTGGTGTTTCAGAGCCACCTATGACCTTTAATATTGGACATGAACCCACTCATTAATTGTGCAAGAGGTCCTATGCAAAGGGGGGGAGAGAGAGAGAGGTGATTAGGGGGTACGCACAACCCAAAAGTTATGATCTGAAAAAGCTGAATACCTCTCCTATCAAGTGGTGTATAGTTTTCTTCCCTTCAGATAGTATGGTGACAGCAATGTGATTGGCCCCAGATTTAGTGCCCATACAGTTCACATGGCAATAAATATACTGTATATAGATGCTGAGACAAGTTTCAATGTGATTTTTATTTTGCAAAAATTTAAAAGCTGCTGGTTTTTAAGTGCTAGACTTCGCAGAGATTCATCTTACAACACATGTTCACTGAGCTCCTACCATATGCCAGGCATTTTCCAAGTAGTGAGTACCAAAGTCAAGTCTCTATTTTCACAGAGCTCATATTCTAGGAGCTCTGGTGTCCTTAGTGTGGTATGCTGCTAACCCAATGGCCACATGTCTCTGATGCCTCAAACCCACCAGCCAGGAGAAAGATGGGCAGTCTCCTCTGGTTAAGACTTAGAACCTCGGCAACCCAGTGATGGCATACTCAGCGGCAGTGAGGTGAATTTTGTTGTTTTGTTTTATTTCCGTATATTCTAGGGAGGGAAAAAAGGGAAGAAAAAAACACCTCAAATAAGTAATGAGAGTAAAAAAAGTATAAAGAGTGAAGGCAAGCATACTGGTTTATATAAAATTATCAGGAAAGGAGCTTTAGATAACACGGCCTTTGGAGAGAAACCAAAGGAAATGAAGTAAGTCATGCTGATATCTGAGGGAAGAACATTCAAGGGGGGGAAAAGAGGGGGCACTAAGTTCAAGGCCTTGAGGTGAGAGCATGTCTGATTTGTACAGACAACAACAAAAAGACCTGTTTGGCTGGAGTGGAGTGAGCAGAGACTGAGGGTAATGAGAACAGGGCCTGATCACAGTGGTAAGGATTTAGATTTTAATCTGAAAGGGTTGAGATGATGATTGTGATGAGAAACTGCTTAAAAGCTTTTTAGAACAGGGGTGACATTGTCTGACCTACATTTTCTTAAAGAATTACTCTGGTTGTTATGTGGTAAAATATATGAGCAATACAGGAGGGGGGAGAAAAAAAGAAAAGAAATATAGGAGGGAGATGATGATGATGGCCTAAACTGCTTATTGTTGTTGTTGTTGTTTTGTGCCATCGAGTCACTTGCGACTCATAGTGACCCAATGTACAACAGCCCTAAACCCTGCTTTATCCTGTGCCAACCTTACTATCTCTGACACACCTACCCCCATTACCTCAGTCACTGAATCAATCTACCTCATAGAGGGCCTTCCTCTCCTGTGCTGTCCCTCGACCCTCCCAAGCATGACTTCCCTCTCTAAGAACTGGTCCCTACTTGCAACAGTCCCAAAGTATTTCAGACGAAGCTTCAGAATCCTTGCCTCCAAAGAGCAGCCTGGTCTCACCCTCTCCAGAACAAACCTGTTTGTTGTTCTTCTAGAAGTTCATGGTATATTCAATACTCTTCTCCAGCGCCACAACTCAAAGACATCAGTTCTCCTTCTATCGTCCCTACTCATTCATTGCCTATTACTGTTGGTAAAAAGTAAATGGATTCTGTATATATTTTGTAGAGGAAGCCAACAGGATTTGTTGCTAGATTACATACAGGCTATGTAAAAGAATCCATACTAATGGCAGATTTATAGCCTGTGAAATGGGAACACTGAAGCTGTTTGTGTAGTGAGGAAAGCTACAGGAAAGCAAGTTCCATATGGAATCAGGAATTTGCTTTTGTATAGGCGCAGTTCAGTGTGTCTAAATAGAAATGTCAAGAAGGCAGCTAATGTGTGAGACTGGAGTTGAAGGGGCATAGAGCAGGAGATAGACATAAGATTCATAAGTTCCCAGCCTCAAGTATTTCTCTACTTAATACATTGTTAAAATACTTTTTCTGTGTGACCTACTTATCCTAAGTAATTGAACTCTTACATGATAGCTGTATTTTCATATCTCTCAAAGCATTCCTTATGAAGACTTTCAATGTCACATAAGATTATTTCCACCCCCCTCCCCCAGAACTGAAGCCGCGTGGGGTAGCAGTCAATTTGATTCCAGGATTACCGGCCTACATCCTTTTTATGTGTGTCCGACATGCTGACTACCTAAATGATGACCAGAAAGTAAGGTCATTGTTAACATCAACAATTAACAGCATCAAGAAAGTACTGAAGGTCAGTTCATGTTAAACAAAATTTTTATTGTGAATGTTGATGATTATGGAATCTGTGCAGATGTGATTTTTCTAATATATTCCATTGCTGCCTGTAATTACCTTTCAGTGCAATTTATGATCAGGGTAAACATAAATAAAATTTAGTGTGGCATGAATACCTACAATTAGTAAAGCAGATTATTTCTTTAGAAAATAAATAGCCTGCTTTTGAGTTTTATTTGAAACTGAATTAAAAAAATATTTAGTGAAGTTCTTCTAAACATTATGTTGTTGTACTTACAGTAGTGGTTAAGTTCAGTAACACATGGCTCATTCATAAACTTTGTTTATATAAAAAAAGATGTCTGATATACAGAGTTTTTTTTCCTTCCAACTTTTCTTCCTATTTCTCTAGCTTACCCCCAAATTTTTCTTGTTACCTAAGTTGCCTGGTTCCACATGAAAAGCAAAGTCTAAAAACAAGTCAAAATCAGAAAGGAAAGATTTGAGTAAGACAGCAAGATTATATAACAGAGCCAAAAACCCACATAATCATTGAGTCAGATTGCATAATCCCCCTCCTGACTGCAGAAAAGCAAATCAACATTCTATTTTATTTTAACGTGACTAGTTCTGTGAAGAGGTAAGGTAATGTTCTCTAAGTTCTGTGCTTTCTGGTTATCGAACTTAATGAGAACTTTGAAGATGGAAAGAAATGGCTTGTGAATATGCCCACTAGACTGTCCCCCCACCCCCCGCAACATTGTTAGTGAATTTTTGACAAATGCTACTTCTCAGTCATCCCTGTTGTGCAGATACTCTATGTATTTGCATTTTACAGAGGCTGCTAAAGCATATTTCTGAGGATTTATCATTAAAAATTGATGGATGTCTCCCACATAGACCTTGTTGATTTTCATGACTAATTCCATGTAAACAAGTTTCATGACTTTTTCTTTTTCTTTTTTAGATTTTATTTTAATAATTTTAATGAACATTTACAGAGATTTTGTATTTCCATTCATTCATTGTTGCACCCTTCTCCCTGCCCAGTCCTCCCCTCACACCCTCCCCCACCCCAGTTCGCTCCTCTTGCTGAAAAATAAAAGAAAAATTCCTTCTTTGATATACAATCAGGTCTTACAGAAAAAGTAAGACTCAGTCATAGTTTTGTTCCTCTGATCTTATTTGACAAGGACGTCTGTCTAGTTTGACTAATTACTGGGCTTTATTACTTAAAGACTTAAAAATGTTTTGAGTGCTAGAATTTTAACACCTTTTTGACACCATTTAAAATGCACATTTGTCTCCAGTCCCTGCTTTGAGTTGGCTGTAGTTGTGTCTTGCATGGATCTTTTGACTTTGTTGTTAGGTGCTCTCTAGTGTACTGCAACCCGTAGCCACCCTTTGAACAACAAATCTGAACCTTGTCCTGTTCACTGACATCCTCTCATCTCTGATACACTTGAGCCCATTGCTAATGGTCACTGTGTTGATTGTCTTGTTGAGGGTCTTCCTCTCTTTTGCTAACCCTCCAACTTACCAAGCATGATCTTTTTCTAAGGATTGGCCCCTAACAGCATCTCCAAAGTATGAAACCAAATTTCACCATCCTTCCCTCTAAGAAGCATTCTGGTTGTACTTTCTCCAAGACAGACTCTTAAAAAAACCAGCATAACTAGTATAAAATATATGGAGAAAAATCCATATTTTTAAATATCACAAATAATTTTTATTTCTTGAATCAAATATGCAAATAATTTTTAATTATTCTTAATAGTTTTCCTTCTGAAAGAAGTACAAAAGTGAAATTGATTCATTGTTTAATTTTGACCAAACACAGTTTGTTTATTATAAAAAAGTAATATTTTGGCAAACTTTATCAAATAATTTCTATTTCTTGAATCAAATATGCAAATAATTTTTAATTGTTCTTAATAGTTTTCCTTCTGAAAGAAGTACAAAAGTAAAATTGATTCATTGTTTAATTTTGACCAAACACAGTTTGTTTATTATAAAAAAGTACTATTTTGGCGAACTTTATTTGATGATGTCTTCCAAATATACGTTACTGATTTTCATTGTATTGATGCAGTATTACAGAAGACTTCTTCAGAGTAAATATTCAGTTAAAAAATTTCCTAAATTGCCAAAATAGTAAGTGAGCTGGGAATCTTTTTTTTTTGTTGTCTTGTTATGCTTCTCAAATCAATGAAAATACAAAACCAGCATTCTTCCTACCTCACTCCAACAGATAAACAATATATATTGCGTGTCAGTTAACTCCTACAAAATTGCTGTGAAATGGAATATTTTACCCCTGTTCTACAGTGAAAGAATTTAAAACTCAAATAAGTACTTTTCTCAGGCTAAACCCCTAAGGAAGAACAGAACTAGGATTTATGTCCATGTCTGTTCAACTCCAGGGTTGATTGAACTGATACAACTCCCATTTTTTTTCTGGGCATCATTTCTTCATTTCTCCAACATTGTAGAGTTTTGAAATAACATGTAAAAATATCATAGCGTGAGACTCTACACAAAATACATGCCAATTCCCCGTGACTATAGCAGCTTCGTATTAAAATAATCCAATCCAAGCATATTAAATAAAAACTGATCTCTACAGGACATGGTACACATCATACTTTTCAACAATGTAGCCTGTCTCAGTAATTTCATTTTAACTAACGAAAGTTGCTAAGCTGGAAAAATCAGATGGAAGAAAATAAAAAGCCTTCATGATTTCAACATTGCTCCATACCTGCCAGTCTGTTGTAATTTTGGGCCAGGGCTTTAACTATAGTGGGCAAAATATCTTTTCAGAGGTTCTGTATTTAGCTTCTTCAAGCCCTTGGAGAAATGAGTTGATTTCATAATTTGAAGTAATTTAGAATATCTCATTTTTAAAGATGAAAGATGTCATACTTAGTGCCTGCTGTTGTTGTTGTTGTTGTCGTTGTCAAGTGCCGTCGAGTTGCAGGCAACTTGTAACGACCCTATGCAGGAGAGTCCTCGACGCTTGTGTGTCTTTCATCTTCTCTCCAGGTTCGTAGGGTTTCCGGAGGCAAGCTATTGCAGAAGTGGATGCCACTCTTCCTTCCAAGCTTGTTTTAATCGAGGAGCTCCACCCCACTCTCTGTCTATATGAGGTGACCAACCTCAGTGTCACCGTGTTCAGCCTCACAGCAACCACAAGTGACCACTGTATTGCAACTTGTACACCAGGGCTATAGGACTTAGAAGAATGTCTGAAGAAAAACAATGAAAGACAGGCCTGAGGCTGTGGATTAAAAGTCACCCACCTTCTGTCCACTGGACTAGCTGATCTCTCTCTCTATGTTGATGTTATTGTTCTTAAGTGCCGTCGAGTCACAGGCGACTCATGGCGACCGTATGAAGGAGAGTCCTCAATGCTTGGTCCTCTCTCCAGGTTCATAGGGTTTCCGGAGGCAAGCTATTACGGAAGTGGATGCCACTCTTCCTTCCAAGCTTAGTGACCATGCTGATAGAAATAATATTTGTAGGATTAATTAGTGTAAGTGTATTTTAGAAGAGGCTGGAGTCCACTAATGAACAAGACTTCTGGAATGTAGTATTCTTAGATTCTAACCAACTTTATTTGGTAATTTTTCTTGGTTTTCTTACATAAAATAGTTTATTATAACTTTTTTCAAAGGAGATATATATATATATATATATACACACACATATGTATATATTTTTTTACAGCATATTCTTTCCATTTAATTTTCCCCCATTCATTCATTGTTGCACATTTTCCTCCCTGCCCACCCCTCCCCCCAGTTCACGTTTCTCTTTGAAAAGAAAAAAAAAAATCCTTTCATTGTTATACAATCCTCCCCCTGCCCCAAGTCCATAGTCCACTTTACATGCATTTATTTTTCTAGAATCTTGTCTTGAAAAAAATACTTAATCATTTATTCCTTTTAAACAGTTCTCTCAGGAGCGAACTTGTGGGGGGGGCGGCGCTAGGCGGGGAGAGAAGTGCAGCAATGAATGAATGGAAATCCAAAATCTCTGTAAATGTTCATTAAAATTATTAAAATTAAAAAAAACAAACCCTGTTCTCTCCCTCATCTGTTTCAATGCAGCATACATTATTTATCCCCTCTTTTCTTAGGCTCCCTCTAACCCCGATGTCAGTCCCGTTTTACAACAATGGCACTATGCATTATTTGTCCTTTTGTGATTGAGATATTTCACTCAGCATAATGTCCTCCAGGGTCACCCATTTTGTACAATATTTCGTGAGTTCCTTGTTTTTCAGTGCAGCATAGTATTCTATTGTGTGAATATAACAGAGCTTCTCTATCCATTCGTTGGTTGATGGGAACTTGGGTTGTTTCTAACTCTTTGCTTTTGTGACCAAAGCAGCAACAAACATGAGTGTGCAATAGGGTAATTCTTTAATATAGGTGTAATTACAAGGTCCTTAAGTGGTTCTCAGAATTCAGACTTGTCTAGACATCAGTCTCTCTGGTGCCTTAGTATCCTCTCTGCCATAGGCCATCCAGTACTGATGATTTTCTTTGTCTGCTGACCCTAAGGCCTTTTTCTAGGAAGAACTAAAACACAAATTTTTACTGACATCTTTATTTCAGTTATGAGTTTCTGTTTATTGGATTGTCATATTTATTTACTTTCTGTCAATTCTTTGAAAATTGGAAGAATGTATTGTTTGGTCTGTCAAATATTTAGCTATTGGTAAAGAAAATCAGGTTGTTAATGAAATCAAAATACTGCTGAAGATCATTGAAAAATGGCTAGAACAGTACATAGAAAGGGAACTGCCAGAAGTTCAAGCAGGATTGAGAAGAGGCCGTGACACCAGGGATATCATTGCTGATGTCAGATGGATCCTAGTTAAGTAAGGAATACTAGAAGAATGTCTATTTGTGCTTTATTGACTATGCAAAGAGTTTTGACTGTGAGGATCATGACAAGTTTTGGCTGACATTGAAAATAATGGGAATCCCAGAGCACTTGATTGTGCTT